ACTAAATACTCCTGCAGTGCGCTGTCCTGCTGCACCCACAACGACTTGTCGTCTGCTCCTGCTAGCTCTCCTTTTATGTGAATGCTTTCATTTCCGCGGAAACTGTGCAGGGTAAGTCTCTCTGCATTGAAGAGCAGCAGTCTGCTGTTAAACTCTCCCACTACGGCGGCTGTATTCTTTTCCACTATGCCTTCTTCTTTTACGAACTTCAAAGAGACAATTCCCGTCATTAAAAATAATTTTATGCCACTATTTATACCCATAAGCATTCTTTAGTTTGTGTCAGCTGTTTATTTTAATTGGTCTTTGCGTTATATTGGCTATAGAGCAGTAAAAGAATAATATTTTTGCTCTTTGTGGGCTGCATGCCTTCTCCATTAATCTGTCCGTTATACCTTTTAGTCTTTTTCAAAATAAATATTGCAAGCACCAAGATATACGCTCTACAATGTAAATTATATCTATGTCCAAAGCATCTACTAACTTAATCTAATTTATTTTATGAGCACCAATGGCTCAATCATCCGTTGAGATTTAAAATACTTTTCTCTCTTTTGAGCTATGGAGTGAGTCACAGCTTGTTATCCTTTCTGATCAACCACAAAAAGATGAAAGGACAAAAGAATGTCTGATTGTGCTATAAATAACAATCAAACTATCCTGTAGCTCTTCTACTATCTAATACTGTGATGTAGCTACATGTGCATATTTACTCCGCGAATGAAAAGAGGATATAAATTTACATCTTTTACCGTGTATCTATATACTCCGGGAGGATGGTAGACGGTGCTTTGCAGTTTTGCAGTGATTATTCCGTGTGTCTTTATCTCCACCTGTCCTTCCTCTTTGTTTGTTAGGTACCCTGTAGCCTCTCCTCCTACCACCACCTTCATCACTACAAACTCTACAGACACTCTGACATACACTTTTGGATCTACTCCCACGATAGAAGCAACATCGTTTGCTATGCCCACGTTCTCTGTGTAGCATATCACCAGGCCTTTGATCACTTTCAAATACTCTCCTATGAAGGTGTTGAGGTATCTGTACACGCCCTCCACCATGCTGTTCAGCTCGTGGGGATAGATGGGCACTCTTACAACTGTCTGCACTTTCTGGAACTGAATGCCTTGCATGGATAAAAATATTTGTTTGCTGGTAAACATGGAAGAGAAGCAGGAGTGCGCGGAGGCATCGGAGGATTTTCAGATCATCCCAGGAATGAACAAGCTCCACAAGAACATTGTGCTTATCAGCAGCACAAGAGAGTCGGCTGTTGTTCCCTACTATATCCTAAGCGAGAGCAGCATTCTCAAAAAGATAATTGACACGCAGATATTCAAAGAATCAAAAGAAGATGCGATTGTTCTTCCCATCTCCTATCCCTGTCTGAAGAGAATAGTTGAGTATCTGTGGTACAAGCACAAATACCACACAAGCAAGGGAGCGGTGGAAGACTTCAAAATAGAAGACAGCGAGACTTTAGATCTGCTCGAAGTTTCTTCTTTTTTGAGGCTGTAAAGAAGTAAATAAATGTGTTAATATTGTGTATTGTTTGGATTGTTTTTATTGCAAATGAGAGTATAAGAGAAAATAAGTAGAAAATTAAAGTAAATTTATTTTGAGTTATTCTCAGAGTTTGGGTCATAATGTGTTCACATAGTAGTCTTCTTCAACCAAAAGGCGGGACAGCAGCTTGCCAAAGTGCATATCTGCTTTGAGTGTAAATAAGGTTAGTATTACTATAAACAGCATGATAGATGTTATAAGATAAAATATAAGTTTCTTTCTTGCTACACAGATACATTTCCCTGCTGTCCCAAAGGTCAGCTCTTCTCTGGAGACGGCAGTTTTGCATAGATCGTATGCCGTGAGCCACATGTAGATAAGAAAAACCATACTAACGATCTTCTTGTGGAGCATTATGGCAAAGAACAAAGACAGCAGTTTTTCATGGCTAATGAAGGCTCGTAGGATGTACACAAACCCGCCGCAGATGCATATGGTGCTTAAAAAGTACGAAAAGACTTCCGACTTTCCAGGGGCATACCTTTTAAAGGAAATAGAGTCAAAGTATGCAATGCATGTGACCATATAGAGCACCTCAAAAAAATAGATGGGAAAGGCGCTAAAGAACTCGTAGGTAGCATAGACATCATTCCCTTTGGCGCTGTAGCCACCGCTGATGAAAAAAGCAAAAAGAAAAGAAAGAGTTACGGGGCTGTAAATGCCAAAGAAAAGCATTCTGACTATTCTAAAAAAGCAGGTAGAGGATGTAAATCTTGGCCTATTTCTTTCAGGGAGGGCTATAACCTCTCGGGTTCTTGTCTTGCTAGAGCTTTGAGATACAGACCTTGCAGCTTTTTTAGGACGTGTTTTCTGTTCTAGCAGTGGTTTTTCCTTTTTTTGATCCTTATATTTACCCATTATCTTACCTCTGAGCTCGAACAAACCTTTATATACTTTTATCTTCATCACTGCAGATCCTCCATCATACGTTGATCAAATAGTTAAAATGATTTTCACACACTTTTATTGCTCTGCAAATTGCAAATTAAAAATTTACACTGGACACACACCAACGATACAAAGAGTCTGTTGGACAGCGAGCATTAGAATACAGGAGACAATCATAGCCGCAGACAGGAAGAACAGTGCTGTGGAGAGGCGCAGTAGCCCACAGAGGGGCATAAATTAAGGGTGGCTCCGGGAATCGAACCCGGGACCTCATGCACCCGAAGCACGAATCATACCACTAGACCAAGCCACCACCCAATAAAGCAAAATATCAGTTGACTTTTATAGAGAATGCAGCCGAGAACAAAATAAAATAAATTAGTTTTTTTTAGGCCATGATGAACAGAGCAATAAAAATAGGCGGAAAGAAGGCACCAAGAAGAATCCCCACAAGAAGACAAATTGACGCAGACAACGACAAGGGATTTTTGACTGCTCTTGCTGGCAACGGCTACAAATGCAACGAGGTCAAGGACATTGACTGCTGCAACTTCATGGCAGAGAACGACTCGGTTATAAACTACCAGACTCCAGAGATCAAGGCAGTCACCAAAGACAACACAATCATTGGATACATCGTCAAGGGCAAGGGAGAGCTCTTGGGAGACAACAATAAAAATTTTGATCTCGACACCATCGTGAAGTATCTGAGCTCCAAGGGCATTAATGTAGAAGACCTCGTTGAGAGAGTCCAAAACGGAGACAAGAAAGCACTTGAAGAGATTCTTGAGATAGTGAAGAAGTCCGCAGTAGAGGAGGATGAAGCAAGCGCCAAGAGTGCAGAGGAGAAGGAATAAGCGCTAGCTGAGCTAGTTGAATGGCATTGCCATCACAGTACTACCAAGACATCTAAGACCATGGAAAAATAAAGGGTTATATCTATAAAACATTCGTTCTCAGTTTTCTGTCTTTAGGTTATTCTTGCACGATACGGTATTATGCCGTCTCTTTTAAGCTTATCTTAGCTGACTATCAGCTAAAAGATAAAAGTTTGCAGTTCAAGAATATTTGCTATATTCTGTGCTAATTTGTATACTAATGCTAAATTTTCATTACTTCACACTATGCTATGTTCTATGTATGCGAGAAGTTAAATGAGCTAGCTGTTAGTTTTTGCATGTTATCGTATGTGAATTAGTGGTGCATAGAGATGTACTGTGTGTCTGTAAAGATAGTTAGAACTATCTATTATGTACTGCGAGAGAAGAGTGCAAGGGGCTGATAGTGCGCTGAGTGTGCACTAGACAATAAAAGTTCGGTTATACTAATATTTTTTACTCTGTTTTATAATTTGCATGGAAAGAGACTTGCACTACCGCCTTGCTAAGAGCGAAGGGTACAGGGCCAGGAGTGCTTATAAGCTCCTAGAAATTATAGAAGAGCATGGCATTCTGCAGGACGTACGATCGGTTATTGACCTGTGTGCTGCGCCGGGGAGCTGGAGCCAAGTGATCAGAGAAAAGCTTCCTTCAGCCAAGCTTCTCGCAGTGGATCTGCAGAACATCGAGCCCATTGAAGATGCAATCATTCTCAAAGGAGACATCACATCCAAAGAGACAATTGATGAGATAAAAAGCGAATTTAAAGGAAAAGTCGATCTCATTCTGTGCGACGGGGCGCCAGAGGTAACGGGTCTGCACGACTTAGACGAGTACTTCCACTCATCGCTAATTAAAGCATCGTGCAACCTCTGTGCATCTTTGCTCTCTCCTGCTGGATGCTTTGTCTCCAAAGTGTTCACAGGAGACTCTCCGGACATTTTAATAGAAGAGCTAAAAGAGTATTTCTCGGAAGTAACTCTCGTCAAGCCAAAGAGCAGCAGAATAAAAAGCAAGGAAGCATTTGCAATATGCAAGAACCTTCATAGGCGCATTTGATCTCTATTTCTGCCCTTTCTCAGCAGCACTGAAAATGCAATATTCGGAGAGTTCCCGAAGTGTATAAACATTTGACTTTTATTTATTCCGACTATTATAGAAAATGGATAAAGAAGCAGTACACGAGTTTTGTAATTTATTGAGCTACAGCGATAGATGTGAGGTATTGTCTCTTCTTCTGCAGTACTCCAACAGCATTGACAAGCTTGCCTTCTTGTTCAACAGGGCGGAAGAGTACAAGCTGGTGCTGAGTTTGTCGCAGAAGAAGTCGAGCGAGTACCTTAGAGCACTCCAAAACAAGCTGTTATATTCGGTTGCTGTGGGGGCTGTCCTAGGCATGTCGTCTGCGATTCTTATTGGTTGTCTTTGAGCTTCTGCAGTGATTTGCTGTTTTTTATAATGCTGATCTTGAGTGTCCAGTCAACAATGCTGTCGATTCTAATAAATATTTCTGTGATTTTTTGGTGCTCAAGGTCTTCCAGGATCCACAGGAGGAAGAGTCTTTTCTCTTCTTTCTGCATTCCCCCCATGAACTCTATTATCAGCTCTGATATGTACATCGACGACCAGTCTTCAATTGTGTTTTTGATGATTCTGATCGATCTCTTGGACAGCTTAATTTCAGCAGGCGAGTTGTTTCTGAACAAAGTGCCGAGGAGAATCTTCTTCATCAGAAGGACCTTTGACGGAATGGCCCAGTCCTCTGTGATCCACTTGAGAACCTCTGCGTATGTGCTCTCTGTGTACTCGCTCAAGTACTTTTTTAAGTTCACCGAGAGGATATCAATGTTCTCCTCGCTCCTCACCCACTCCTCAAAGTTTGCATCGTACTGCTTGTCCATTTCTTTAATGGTGGTGTCTATGTCTTTGACTGTTCTCTTGATGTTCATTTTCTCTCCTGAGTATTTCCATTATTTATCCTTTTGCCGCACTCCATATGGCCATATTTAGAAACCAATATTACTCGATTGAGTATGATTAAAACATTGAAGCACCCATTTTATGTGTCAAAAAACCTGCCATATAGGGTAATCTGTATTTGCGATGTCACATACTTTACCGCCCGGCTGCGCAGATAAGAATTGTTTTATTTTGAAGGGGCTCTTATGCCCCGTGCCCCATTGCGCGTATATAAGAGATTCTTTTTCTCCTGGGCATGGAGCAGCACGATAGATTTGGAAAAAAGATAAGCATACGAGATAGAATTTTCAGAGGCCTGTTTTTACTCTTGGCTGGGTTTATTGTGCTTTCGGTAGCATAGCTATACAATAAATAATATTTATTTTTTATTTTCCCCACAATGCCGTGCGCAAATATTAAACAGACTTTTAAAAAATTATCCAAGGAGACAATGCATGCAAAAGTACTGCCAGTTGTTGGCCCCATTATACTCCCCATACTATTTGGGATGTGTCTCACCTCGCTAAACGTGCTCGGAAACAGAGCTGTTACTTCCCAAGGAAACTCAACTGAGAGCATAGATGAGCTCGTATCTGCTCCATTCTCAAAGCAGAGTGGATGGGAGTTCTTGTCCATTTCCATGTTCATTGGCACTTTCACATTCTCGCTCGCTCTATTCATCATGGGGCTTCTTAAGAAAACACCATACGCCCATTTTAAGTCTCTTTTCACGAGCTCAGCTTTCCTCATTGCTGCGACTAATTTGATCTGCGCATATTCTTCTGCTTTCTCTGTGCTATTTGCAGCTAGGTTCTGCATGGGAGTGGGAACGGGAATAGCATGCGCCCTGGGCCCAGTGTACTACATAAAGCTGCTGGGACCAAAAGCAGGGTCTGTTGTTGCTACACTGCAGGGCCTATTCATTAACCTTGGCATCCTGATTGAAGGAAGAATATCGCACCAGCTGAGCGGACAAGACGACAAAACAGCATCCTACATCTTTTCCATTATCGCAGTGATGTCATTTGTGTCCCTTGTTTTTAACATTGTTTTCACGAAGAACTTGCACGACACCAACCAAAGCAAATTTGAAGACGTGGAGATCATTAGGGCAGTGCGCAGTGGAGTGCCATCTAAGAAAAAAGTGCTGGATAAGAGCCCTGTGCTGATGATTGCTGCGTGCATAATCATGCAGGTGGTGCAGCAGATGACAGGAATTAACCCCATACTGTCGATTCAGTCTGTGGTCTTCAATCCTGCGCTGGACAATACAGCCACTGCGAAGGGCTTCTTTGACTCTGCTGGGTTTATAGGCATGTTCATCTCCATTGGCATTCTGATGGTGAAAAATGACTGTCTGAGCTGGATGGCTCTACTTACGGGCGTAGGCGCGTGTGTTTCTCTTGTCATCGGATGGCTGGGAAGTGGCATTGTTATGTGCTGGGCTGCAGGATTCTATCTTCTCTTCTTCTCCATTGGCTTAGCGAATCTTCCGTGGATGCTTCCCTCTATTCTCCTGAAAGCAGAGAGGAATGTGTCTATGGCTGCTGGCTTAGGCTCTTTGTCAAATGCAGTGGTATCTTGTGCTGCAGTCTTTGGGTACATCAGCGCGTATTCGCTCCTTGGAAAGAGCCTCTTTGGAGTCTTTGCCCTTTTCTGCCTGACGGAGGGAGTGCTGGGCTTCTATCTTCTCGTGCAGACCGCTAGAAATGAGAGATACATCCCAACAGCTGATAACAGCAAGGCCAGCAGACTAATTGCTGCTGGTGAAGACGAAACAGAAATGTAGGAAGACAGGACATAAATAAATAATAACTCACACAAAGCATTTATATTATGTGGCAATGGGATACTTTTTCATGCAGAGTAGGATTATTGATCGATCAAATATGATTTGAGTATTAAAATTATTTTTCGTTCTTTAATATAAGCCAATACGGAAAAATGATGCAGCATTTCTTAATACAGAAGCTAGAACAGGTTTTATAAATAAAAAATTTATCAGCTGCGAATAAAAATGGATAAACCCTTGGGAGACTTTGACCTATACACAAATAGCACAATATACCAGACGGGGCACACCTTGGACCCACAAAACCCTTCAAGAAGAAGGAATACCGTTAAAAATCGCTTTTTCAAGAACAGCGCAACTTTTCTCTACTACTATGCAGCTCCTATTGTTGTGGTGCTTTCAAGCATTTCAATTTTTCTAAGCAATAGATTTATAACTGTTCTAGTAAGTAGAAGAGCATTCAATTACATCTCTCAACGACTAGAGGTAGAGGGAATCTATGGAATTTTCCCTGAAGATACAGAGTCAGGCATTGTCAGCTTAGATTACAAAGTAGGAGTCTACAAGAACATAGGAATGATTTCAGCTGTTCTCCTAGTGCTGCTTGTTTCTTATCTTATCAAAAACAGAAAAAAACTAATGGAATTGTACTTCATTGTTCTCAGCATACTTCCTTTTTCTATGGGGATATTTGCGATGGCTTGTCTAGCCGGAGATTTCGCAACGCGTTTCTATCCTCCCTATCCAGCCAATTATCATCTTAAGATAATATACTTTATAGTAGGTTTGTTCATGGGGCTATACAGCTTTTTGCTTCTTGTATTCTTTAACGAAAGATACAAAAAAACAACAAAAAAGCTGTGGTATGTGATGAACATGAATGTCTGCATTTTCTTGTTTGGAGCACTATGTGACCTGTTTTTAAATTCTATTTATAGAAACAGATCAAGGACTTTGCTATATGTAGGAGGTAGTATTATTGTAGCGCTCAGCTTCTTTATGGACTATAATATATCCATCCATGTAGTGAACAATTGTTTGATCAAATATTTGGTGAGCAATAAGCATCCAGAAGAAGAGGAAGATATCCTACTAGAACCACTGCAAACAGGGAGAGAGAGAATGGCTGCAGAAGAATCTTCTACAGCAGCATCAAATTCACCTTATATTCGATGGGAGAATAAAATGATGCTTAATATGGAAAGTCTTACAAGAGTAAAAGGTGCTGTAGAAACACAAGAGATGGTTAAAAATGTTACTTTCCCAAAGGAATTACACATCGAGCACTTGGCCATAATCATATGGTGCTTTGCATGCTCTTTCCTAAAACAGACGGTATTTATGGCGGACACAATAGTTTCCCCAGAAAACAAGATTGATGCTAATAGCTATCTATACCTTATCTGTCCGATAATCGCTGTAGCACTTTACTATTTGCTTGCTTCTATTACTAAGGCTGTAAGCAAGATATTAGCTGTGGCATATGTTATGCATGCAGTTGGAATTGTTCTCCTATTCATTACCAGTTTTATCGGATGGATGCCCCTCCAGTATCTCTCAATGGGAATATACTTTACGAGTTTTAATTTTGCTATTGCGCTAGTCTCAGGAGTGCTGCCCATAGCCTTGGGATCGAGAACATCTAACACATTTACATTTGCTGTGTATATCTTTTTAACACAGATATTTGATGGCTCTTACCAGCTGACTTCTGTTCTGCCCCAGCTAGAATCGAAATACACAAAATATTTGTCTTTCACTGTGGTGAGCATTCTTTCCTTACTTTTGATCCCAATATACATGAGAATCAGAAAAGCAGAGACTGCCAGAAAAGAAGAAGATGATGATGACGAAAATGCCATTGCCCTCGACACATACATTCCAGCAGTAAAAGTTGACACAGCACCAATGCCACCAGCGCATCAAAGAGGTGTATTGGTTTCTGAGACCTATACCACTAAAGCTTATCCTTACACGATTGATAGTGGGAGCGATGATGAAAATTAATAAATAGCTCTAAGCTTATTCTTTTTTATATGCAATCCACTGCCTGCATAGCTGCTACTATCTTTTATTTATAGACTACCTCAACTCATCTACTATACCTTACTTTTTTCTTATCTTCTGTGCGAATAATTGAGTATCTGTCATAGACAGCTGGGCAATCAATAGAAGTACATATCACAGCTGCTAATCTAGGAGAAAACTAGCAACTTTCCAGAAATTTTTGCAGTAAAAATTTATTCACGTGCTGTCCTGTGGAGTAAATAGCGAGTGATGCAGATGAATGGAAAGTAATTTTATTTTTGCCACAGAAAGAGAGATGCTTATAATGGGAGACATGGACAGAGTGAAAATATACACGCTGTCAGAGCTGGAAAAGAAGGAAAAGCTAGAAATGGTGCTGGCCAATGAGTTTGATATCTTTTCCATGACAGGAGTGGATCCGAAGGACAAAGAGTTTCAAAAAACATGCATAAAAGAAGTCATGAGACAGAACCCGAGCGGATACAACCACAAGTGCAACTGTCCAGTGCAAAAGTTCAAACAGGTTAAATACATCCCTGCTAAAGATGTGATTGCATACAACAGCGGAAAGTGCAGTTTAGACGTTGCACAGATAGGATATCTTGTGCCAAGAAACAGTGCGTTTGGGAAAGAATTCAGAGGCCTTCTTCTGCTGGTCAGACAGATCATCATCTCAAAGAAAGAAACTATCTCTGTGCCATTTGAGTTCTTTACAACTTGGCTTGGGCTGAATGTGTGCATTGTCTGTCTGCTGTACATGGAGAAATACATTTTCTAGCTTCATTGGCTAGGATTGCAAAAATAAAAACAGTGCATTTACTCTTATCTTCTCTCTGCTGAATTCAAGTGAAAGAAAATGTGCCAGAACAGCTGTGTTATTTACTTTTATTGTATTTATAGATAAGCAGATGGATAAAATAGGCAATTTTAACGGTTTTTTCTATTTGAGCATCCCGAGACATCCTTCGTACAGGCCTAGGATTAGCTCGTTTTCTTTGATTGTCTCTGTTCGGCTGTTTATTTCTTCCTGCAGCTTTGCTTTCTGTATCTGCATTTCAGCTAGCTCCACCTCCATCTGGTTTATTTTCTCTTCTGTTGCTGACAGCTCTCTCGCATTTGTAAACATCTTGTTCTCCTCTCTGTTTAGGAGCGTGGTCTGGTCTTCTTTTCTTCTCTTCAGCTCCTGCACATCCTTTGAAAGCAGCGCGTTCTTGCGTCTGCTTATGTTGATGGACTGCTCGAGCACTGATCCATTTTTTGACAGCAGCTCCACCTCATGTGCCAACTTGGACAGCTTTTCTCTAATGGCATGTGCGCCCAGGAGATTCATAAAAGAAAATTTAATGTGCAATAATATTTATTCATTATGCCACGAGAATGAGAGGATATCTAAGATGGCTTATTGCAGTTAAACAGAGATACACAGAGCAATAGACATATAGTACACTGTACAGCAATATATTCTGCCTGTGGTGTATTTTTATTCAAATATCCTGGTGTAAAGAGGTGAGAAAAAGTTTGCACACTTTTTTATTACTCTTGTTGCTCTAAATTCAATAGGTACAGTTCGAAAAAGTGTACATTTTACTCTCTGGATTTATTTATAATTCGAAAATAATTCAAATGCACAGGAGGCAGAACACAGCAGCCAACCAATGGACAAGATAAAATGGATAAAAACTTTCAATGAACAGTGTTTTTATTGTGTTTGTGCTAAACAGATCAGACACAAAGAGAAACCACAGGATCACGCGTTACTTGTTGCTCTTTCAGGCTTTCTCATTATTATCTTCTACCTCGTTTATCTTGATGGGTAAGTCTTTGCCCTCTCTCACTGCCTTGTTGTAGTTGACTCCCAAGTAAATGGTTGCATACAGCCAGACTGAGCTGATCAGGAAAGTAGCTGTGAGTGTAACATTCACTGACTTTCTTATGTCGTTTGTGTTGAAGATGTAGAGCAGAACAATTTGCATAATCGATGCAACTGATTTCCCCAGCTTTCCAAACACCCCGTCGTATATTCCCTTGAATCGAGACCTGTGCTCCTTCGGGATTTTCACTCCCACTGCCTCCTTGCAGATGTCAAAGGCTGCGTACTTCATTATTTTGATCACCATTATCACAATCATACTGATGACTAGCTCTATGGTCTTTCCTTTTGTCAAAGTCCAGTTGATTGTTGACCCAATGGATTTTCCTATTGTGGTAAATACGCTGGTGTCATTGGATACCATCTTGCTGTTCACCCAAATGCATCCGAAGAAAATAGTAGATCCTATCAGAGAGAGCACAGGAGACACCAGACCAAGTGAGAGCCATCCTTTTCTCTGAATGAAAGACTTCATTGGGGACATGAGGACGATTCCTGTCATCAGCCCCACAATGACCTGCTGTGACGCCTTTGTCTTCATGGTTATGCTTTCCTTTGGCTGATTCATTGCCTCTGCGTACCCAGTGATTGTCATGTTCCCTGCTCCCTCTGTTATGTTGGTTACCATTCCGTATGCCAGCACAGAGAGCGAAAGAGCCAGGATGATTTGGTTTGAGAAGGCAGCGACAATTCCTGCGATCATTCCCACTTTTGTCTTTGTTTTCTTGGCTGACACGGGGTTAGTGGCAATGTATACGGGATACGGAATGACCTTGTCCATGAGATACTTGTACACAAAGTAGTTGACAGCACAGAGGAAGCCCAACAGAAGGAGGAAGTATCTGTAGAAGTTGATGATTATGTCCTTGTTTGACTTTGCGAAGTACGAGACTGTGAGGCCCATGAGCCCAGAGAGCATCAGTGCAATGTTCGCGCATATCAAGAAAAGAGGATAGAAACGAAGGGCTTGCTTCAGCAGACAAATCTCATTCACGCACCCGAAGAAAAGGAGAGAAAGCACAAAGCTCCCCCACATTTCAGCTGATACGTAGAAGAATGAGCACGTCCAGAAGTTGACAAGATACAGCATCCCTTCCAAAAACTGGAGGCCTCTTACGAACATCTTCCCGTCTGAAAACAAGTCAGAAACTAGGAACTTGTACGGCTCTATTGTTTCTGCTATTGGGAAAATAACAAGAGAGTAAATAACAAAGTATATACCGAATCCAATCTGTGCGCCCAGCATGATGCTTCGCATTTTGACGCCCTTGGACATGAGGTACTGGAACATAATGCCGAATGCTATGGTGAAGAAAAGCACGGCTGTTGTTTTGAGATAGCTGATGGAGGTTGGCAGCATTTTTCCGATAATTAGCGTATCTTTTGCATCTCTCAGCGTAGAGTATATAAAAGATATGATAAAACCAAGTGTTGCCAAACAAAAGAACTTTGGATACTCCACCCTCAAAACTCTGAAGAAGGTGGAGCACTCTTCGTTTGCTCTTTTTTCGTGCTCTTCCTCTGTGGGAAGTGACTTTCTTTGGTAGTCCTCTGCTACTCTATTTTCATTCATACGGAGAACATGCAAATTGCTTTTATAGCTCGCAATAGCCGGGGTATGGATTATTTTGATAACCAATCAGAAAGATTGGCTTGTTTTTATTAATTAAAATTGATAATAGCAGCCCCGTGCTGTAGTGAATAAAAAAGAATTTGAAGCTGCAATTTTACCCAGATGGTTTAGATGGTGATTCTATGGTATTCTCTTCTAGATCTATCATTTACTGTAGGAGATAGTGTGAATGATAATAATCACTCGCTTCGCTAATGGCAATTCTATTTTTCTACATTTTTGTTTCTTTTTTGGAATGCATCACCAATTCCAGCTCGAGTACTATTGCTGATAAAAATAAACATGTATTTATGTTGTACATACTATGCTATTTACTAAGAATTCGTGTTCTGATTTAGATTAAAGCAGGCTTTGGGAGAGCATTCAATAGATTGCAATTAAATTCTTCTTTGGCTTCACAGAAAAACAACTGTAATAAAAATAAGAGATCTTTTGTCTAGTGAATTTATTGTTGGCAAACAGAGAAATAGCACTGCTCTTTCTTTATACTGCTGTGCTCTCTTTTTTTCTTCTGTAGACACAGTATACATAGTAAGCGAGAAGAGAAATAAATAGCAGAGCCAGTGTGGTGATGGATATAGACAGGAAGACAATCACTCTTCTTGCTTTGTAGTTTCTGGTCATGCTTTTTATTCTTTGTTTCATGCTCTTTTTTTCTATCTCTTTTCTGATTTTACATGCTAGAACAGTGCGGCGCCTGTTGAATATCTGTTCTTTTGAAGACTTCTTCTTGATCTTTTCTTTCTTTTTTCTTGCCTCCATCCTTATGTTCTCTTCATAGGAGTCGAAGACATTCTGGCAGTCTTCCATGTGGTGTATTTTGTATGCATAGTTTGATATCTCGTCATCTAAGAACCGAACGATGAGATTGTCCAGAATGTAGTCCCCGTACACTGAATCAAAGAGGTGGCGGTCGTACTCGCGCATGTATCTGTACCAGTAGTAGTAGGTGTAGAACTCAGAGATGAGCTCTTTGTTCTTTTTGCTGCTTATGTTGAACTTGTGTGATTTGACTGCTTTCATGATCTTGTCTATTCTTTCGCTCACAACTTCAATAAGATGGCAGTCACTCGTCCTGTAGATGTTCTGTAAAAAGTCTATGGAAGCATCTAAGTCATTGTTCTTCTCTATTTTGGTTCGGTATGTTTCTCTTAATATATACTCTATCTCTTTTATATTTATGCAGTTTATCATGTGCATTTGGTTGTACTTCTCTCTCTGCCTCATCACAAGGTTTAGCACTCTTTGGTTTCTGGCTTTGTGTTCTTTTGATTCTGTGTTTTTCTGTATTGTTTGAAAGTAGCTTATGAAAGAGAAGAGACGGCTTATATGAACGGACAGATAAAACATAAGGTCCTGCAGAAGTTCATCGATGTTTGGGCTCTTTGCTTTTATCTGGTCTTTTATCATTATTTTCCAGAACTGGGCTATTTCTCTGACACTGACTGCTTTTCTGTACTGCATGGTCTTTCTGAACGCCTCCATCATGTGGGGCTCTATGTGCGAGGGCTTTAGCTTGATGAATTGGTCTATTTGTCCGTTCACTATTTCAATCATAATTTTATTTATGCAGTTAATCATTATATCTTCTTTTTCAGGCGAAGTTGATGGTTTCTTCTCGAATAGCTCAGCATAGAGTTTGCACAGACGATGGTACGCACTGGTTTTCTTTATTGCGTGCACAGCCAAAGGGTCTATCATAACTGGATTCTTACTGTACGCGTCCATAGAAGGATAGAATCATTAAAAAAGTAAAATTATAATATTTTGGAAAATATTTGGCAGAAGCTGTTGGAGGGACAGTCCGAGCATATGCGATATTTACAGAACTTACCATCCTCTAAATTCTAAAGGTCTTCTACTGCTGACAAACATGGATATCTGTAGAGATATAGCCTAAAAACAGCAAAAACTGTTTGTTGTTTTGATCTTGCCAAACATAATTTTGTTTGGGATATATTGCACCACTAAGATACCATCTTCTAGATATCTAATCTAAACATGCAATTGCTTACTTAATGGTAGATGATTGCTTGGTGTTTGCTATGATAACAAATACTAAACTGATCTCACCAGTATCTCAAACCACTTGAAGTTGTATTCAATGAGTCATCCAATACCCTTTGTGGTTTCGAAGAAAAAACAGCTCTATTTATCTTAAAATTTTTGGCTCTGCATCTGCAGTCAAAGATGGATAAATAATGAGCAAATAATTTACTCTAATGGCACACAATAGCAATCTAACATTAACTTGTTTATTCTGTTTTCTTTTGTGTAAGATGTGGGAACGCTATCAGCGCATCTGCACTTCCTGTTGTTTCGTGCGTGAGGTTAATAACTGCAGAAAGAGCCAGGGAGAGCTGTTTTCTGATTATTCCAGCACCTGGTGCTCTTTTCAGCAATTCTTTCAAAAATAAGAGAGATCTTTCAACCATCCCATCAGACATAGCTGACATGATAACGGGAATGCTCTGCGGTATCATCTCCAGAGGGAAGTATCGGCCAAGAATCACAGGATCACCAGTGGATATAGCCAGACGCATAAGCATCGCATTCTGCAGCTGCGTTGCTCCAATGGCTCCTGACAAAGCATCTCCTTCATTCACGATTTTTTTTTCTATTTCTTCCGGAGTTTCTTTCTTCCACATTCCTGCAGGATTTACTCCTCCTGCCTGGTCTGTGAACATTAGCACTCCAGTCTCTGTGCACACTCCCACTGCCTCTCTGAATGTGCCCACTTCTATGAATATATATCCGCTCGATTTCACCATATTTTCAACGACTTTCCATCTTTCAATCTCCTGCGACTGGTGGAATATGGCTGCATACATCGACTCCCTGGATCCTGCAATTCTGTCTGGTCTGAGCACCTTGTAGGTTACAATCAGCTCGCCTTCTTGTGTGTGCACTAGCCCAAGCGGCAGAGATCTTCCCATTCCATTTCCGTACGCTGATAGCACTCTGTACTCTCCGATTTCTTCCATTTCCTGGTTGTATGCGTATACTACTCCACTTTCTCCAAGACACGACACCTTTACTCCCTCTCGTGTTTCTGAGATATCTGCCATAACGAACTGCTCTACGCCATCTTTTCCAGACACAGAGGAGGGCGAGAATGTTGTGAGTCCCTGCATTGTAGCCAGCAGGACACTTGTTCCTACTATTTTCACAGCAAGTGGCATATCTATTTCATACTCCTGGATCATTTTGCTTCTTTTGAGATCGTACATCTTCATAATCCCAGGGCCTGCAACGACTAGAAGGTCTTCGTCTGCATCTCCCTTCATGATTCGCATCTCTGTGCTTATTTGCTTGACTATTTCTCCCGTTGCTTTGTGCACTTTGCACTCTCCTCCAGAAGAAAGAGAGACAAATCCTCTTTTAATCGGAACTATGCAGGCTATTGCTGCATTGTGCTCTGAAATCTTTTGGATGCATGTAGCTGATCCTTTGTCCCACATAAAGATGTCTCCTGCTTCCGTTCCCGATACGATGCATGGGCCTATGTCCTTTGCCACCATCTGAGACGAAGAGTCTTGCTCGTTGAACAGCAAAGTGTTGGTTTTCCACTCCCACACGACAGAGCCATTTCCTGAAAGAACTATCCAGTCGTCCTCCTCCACGAATTTGGCATGGGTTATTCCTTCAGAGACAAATATTTTCTTAATTGGCTCCTTGCTCTCTGATGTTGTGCTGTATAGCATTATGTTGTGGCTCGTATCTATGACAACTGCCATATCTCCGAAAGTGGAAATATCTGCGCCCAGAAGATTGTGCATAGTAAACTTTCTGTGGACAGGAGTCCACTCATCTTTTTCCAGACAGATGAATTTGCTTATTTCACCGCTGGCCCATACTGCGTACAGCTCTCCGTCTATTTTACGCGCTGCCACTGTGTACGACTTGTTCCTCGCGACTTTAATTGAAACATTTTCTTTTTCTCTGTACTCTCTTAGAGACCCGTCTTTTGATCCTGTAATAAGCCCTTCTTTTGTCCCGTTCATCAGGATGATGCTGTCTTGGTGGCCTGTGATGTGTTTGTCTTTTTTGAATGTGAAGAATCCGTTGTCTTCTGGGATCCATATCTGGAGATACCCCATAAAGTCCAAAAACACTCTCTTTTCTTTTGCATAGGCTGCCTTGCACTCTTTTGCGTGCATTCTTCCGACCTCTACATTGTAGGAGAGATTGTATAAGTATACTTTGCTGCTCTCGTCAAGAGCCAGGAGGAATCCGCTGTCAACTGAAATGCTTTTTATGTTCCCCTCTGTTTCCAATTTCAAGATGCTTGATGTTCCGCTGCGTATTTTCATCTTTTTTACAATACGCCCTACACCCACAAACAGCTCCCCTGTTTCTTCGCTGTATGCAGAAATGGTAGCTGTCGATGACCCGTAGACACAGTTTAATGTAAGACCACTCATTAAAAATTTTCAGAAAATCCAAACAGAAAAACAGATTCTGCAAATGCAAAAATAACGCACTATCAAAATTCCTTAGAACCACTGATTTCTCAGTGCTACATCTAGAACAGCTAACTAACTTATTCGGCAGTGATAGAATTGCATTGAAAATATAGGATAACTATGATTGGCATAAAAATTGCTAATATACACTGAGTGAATAGTAAATATTTGAGCTAAAGAAGCTTGAACAGACTGAAACTAAATTAAACAGTAGAGAGACTAGCCAGCAGTATGCCATAACATTAGCAAACATTTAGTAGTACGACGGATAAGAATAGATCTTCTTTTATTTAACAATGTCTTATATTCTATACTCATTGTATGTCATTTCAGCCTGCAGCTCTTCCAAAGACTTCTTTTTCACAGGCTCATGCTTCTTAATCATTGCCAGACTGTTTGCTACACTCAGCATTTCCTCTATCTTTAGCATTCCCTTCTTCTCTTCTCCTTTCTCCAGCCCAATGTACTCTTTGCGCTCAGAGTCTATATACCCTGCAATAGTTCCCTCTGCAATGGCTTTCTGAAGGAGGAATGACGCGCTCTCCTCTGATACTCCCAGCATCTCTCCAACTGAGCTCAGGTATATCTTCGTGTACACTACGCCAATTCTCCTAACTTGTTCCTTCTGCACTGCTGTTTCTAGCCGAATGACAGAGTGGTACAGTCCATCCATTCGCAGCATATCCTCTACCTCTCCCACAGCCTCGTGAAACTTTTCCAGTGAGCACGACTTTATTGCTAGAAGAATTTTCTGGTAGTTTATCAGTCTGGGGTTGTTCATAAAGAACTCTCTGTTGGGATGCTTGCCCTGGTGCAAGGATGCCACCACCTGCACCTTTCTGCACTCTTCTGTAAAGAGAGTGTCCGTGCTTTTTACGATCGCTTTGTTGATTGCCTCTTCTGCTGCTCTGAATTCTTCGGCCATGAGGTATATAACACTCGCTAGATAGTAGAAAACCGAGGACTGTCCTACATCTGCTTCGTCTGGCAGCTTGATTCCCTTTAGGAATGTGTATGCCTCGTCGTACAGCTCTTTCTTCTGAAGATCCATCAAAATGCTATTTATTATCACAGTGGTTGTCTCTGTGTTCTGGTACTCTCGAGCCTCTGCAAGACCCAGCAGATACTCCGATAGAATGTTCTTTTTAAGCTGGCTTGCTGATATTCTTGCTGTTGTCCACAGGCCTGCAAGAACCCCGTCGAGAATTCTTGTTGGCTCTCTTGAGATCTCTTCAATGTTTTTCATGGAGGTGCTAAATGACTCTTCATACTGCTCTTTGTATGCGTATGACATGCTGATGAACAGCTGCAGAAGATATCTCGCTGGGCCTGTGGAGTTGTTCTCTAAATTGGCTAAAAGCGACTCAGTGTCTACTTCTGAGATGATGTCGTATGTATTTCTAAGAGCATCTTTTGTGCTTTTCAAAGTGGCTTTTTGTATGTGTTCTATGCTCTCATTTACTTTGTCCATTAAACAACAAAAAATTAGCAAATTAAAATAAATAGTAGTGTTTCCATTCTGTGCGCCCAAAGACTAAAAGAGGTGATGGCCTTCTGTAGAGTTGGTTCTTGCATCTTCTTTGTGCTACAAATGCATTTTTATATGGTAATGTGATAACAATCCATAGAACAGTATTTATTTCCTCTTGCATAGTTCTATCTGGTTTAGAAAAGAGCAGTAGAAAATACAGATCCAATCACATTCAATTATATACTGCTCTTGCTGTAAGTGTAAAAATAGTCTAAAATGTTTGGTTAGGTACAGTTTAGATTGTTATTTATTTTTGGGTGTATTTTTTCTTCTTTTGGTAGATATTTATCCTTCTGCAAACTTGATAGAGGGCTTGCAGATTAATTTATTCATTTGGCATCTATTTTTACAATAATGTTTTATTATTGGTTTGTACAGTGGCGTATCATATGAAAGATTCGATGCTTACAGGGGCTGCTATGGACGAAGAAAGAAGAAACTCACTGAAACAAATAGCAATTAAGCTCGTGGAGAATAACAAAGGCATTCTTGCGATAGACGAGAGCCCCAAGTCAATGGAGAACAAGTTTGCATCTGTGGGCATAGATAACACGCCCGAGAACAGAAGAAGGTACAGAGAAATGCTGCTCACTGGGCCGTCCAAAATAGGAGAGTATCTAGGAGGCGTGATACTGAATGAAGAAACTTTTTTTCAGAAAGACGCCAAAGGTGTTTCTTTTGTTGAGCACATGAAAAAAGCTGGAATATGTGTGGGAGTTAAGCTAGACAAGGGACTCCTTCCCCTAAACCAGAGCACAGAGAAGGAGAAAATGAGCACGGGCCTCGATGATCTAAAAGAAAGGTGCAGCAGGTACAAAGAAGGCGGGGCATCGTTTGCCAAATGGAGATCTGTCTTTTCAATTAGCAACGGTCTTCCAACAGACGAGTGCATAAATAAAAACTGCGAAATACTCTCCGAGTATGCGCTGATCTGCCAAAACAACGGTCTTGTTCCGGTAGTTGAGCCTGAAGTGCTCTTTGACGGGTCATACGATGCTTCCCAGTGCGAAGTAGTCACTGCTTCTGTTATCTCTTGTCTGTTCTACCACATAAATAAGAAGGGCCTATACATTCCTGGGATAATTCTCAAGACAGGATTTGTTACTTCTGGCCCAAATGGCAAGGCGCAGTCTTTGAGCGAAGTTGCTGAGGGCACTCTGACTGCTTTTATGTCTTCTGTTCCCCCGAGCATTCCGGGCGTGGTGTTTCTGAGCGGAGGACATCCTGAGGATATTTCTGTGAAGTATTTAAAAGAAGCAAATGCGATTAAAAGAACCTGCAATGCGCCATGGAGCATTTCCTACTCTTTTGGAAGGGCACTGCAGGACAGTGTGCTGGAGCTGTGGGGGAATAAAGACGAGAATAAAGAAAAGGCACAAAAACTGCTGGAGGAAAGAGCTCGCATTTGCTCAGAGGCTGTGAAGGGCTAGAAATAAAAGTGTGATGTTCGTATTTTCTTCTGTCTCTTTAAGTGATATCTGCGTTCTTTTTAACGTACGTGTCTCTGACTCTTTTTGTTAGCTCTTGGGAGCGGTGCAGAGTTAATATAAAATTTATTAAAATCTTCTTGTTGGGCGTATAGTACAAATCTTACACAGTTTTTATTCTTGTGAATTGTCGCTAAGTGCGGATTAATTTTCTCTTTAATTTATGTGCAACCTTTTTAAGCTGTGCCTGCAGAAACTGTTTAGATCTTTTTCTTTTTCAGGAGGGCGCGCTGGAAGTGTCTGAGAAAGGACAAAATATTCTGATTTACAGAATTGAATTTTTTAGTGTTAGTATTTGCATGGTTGGTAAGTATACGGTCACAGAGCAAATAGGAAAGGGCGCTACCTCCGTGGTCTACGAAGGGACCAACAACAAAACCAGAGAAAAGGTGGCAATAAAGGTAATTGACTCCAGGAACACAAGAAACCTCCACCTGGCCGCGAATGAAATAAGAGTTCTGCAGAGGCTGGACCACCCCAACATTATAAAAATATTGGAGACCGTGGAAACAGAGACGCAGACGCTTATTGTTTTGGAAAAGTGCAAATTCTCTCTTTCTTCGGTGGCTAAATCAGGTGCTCTTCCCTACAAAACTGTTCTAAGGATATTCCGAGACATTCTCGTGGGTATGCGGTACCTGCACACGAACGGAGTCATACACAGAGACATAAAGCTGGGGAATGTGATGATAAGCGAAAGCAACGACCTGAAAATAATCGACTTTGGTCTTTCCAAGGACACTTTATTCAGCACGCCAAAAACATTCTGCGGCACCCCGGACTTCATAAGCCCTGAAATGATGGGGAGAATGCCGTATACAAAAAAAACAGATATCTACAGTGCAGGAATGCTGGTTTACTTCCTTATATTCAGATGCGACTACAGCAAGAGCAGAATGGAAAGCGGGAAAAGATCAGAGCAGTACGGCGCACTCGTCAGTCTGCTGGAGAAGATGCTGGAAAAAGACCCGAGTAAAAGAATATCCGCAGAAGAAGCCCTGACAAATCCGATATTCAGCTCATTTTTTCCCCAGCTCATACCAATAGAGGGAATAAAAAGCTTCCAAATAACAACGAAGCTTGGGAGAATTGAATACTCGGATGAAAAAGTTGCAATGACAGCAAAAAACGTCAGCTTTGCAATAAGATCAGGCATGGGCGGGGTGTACCAGATGGACAAAAGGACAGCACAGGAGGTGTACATACCCTTCTCGGCAACAGATACAAAAACACTGAAGCTTGTCGGGTTCTGCTACTCCATTCTCGGCCTTGTAAAAAAAAGAACGCCTGTTGTTATCATTCTTACCGACAAAGGAAAGTTTTTCAAAATGCTGAAAGATACAGTTTATGTCTACATTGTAGATGAGTTTTATATTCTCTGGCAGAACGGAGAGATGTCTGCCAAGAACCTGAAGAGCAAAGAGAGGGTGCAAGCTACTGGCGTAAGCAAAGAAGAGATGGAATCTCTTATATACGAGTCCATACGCGCCCTGCGTGATGAAAGCACGCAGAAAAGACCGATAACAATAGACAAAAGAACGTTTAAAAAAGGAAGTCTGCAGCACAGCACATACCCGTCCATGGGGCTGTCTCTTGAGTCTGCTACATTGGCCAGCTTAGCCCCTGGGTCTCTGCTGAAAGAAAAGTCTGAGTACTGCCCGATATTCATAAGACAGGGAGTCATACTCAGACTAGAACCGTATCTCTACTTTTTGTTCTTGTTTTCTGGAGGCTGTTTTATCCTTAATTTGCACACAGAGGTCCTGGTAAGCTTTTCAGACGGTCTTCCGAAACAAGTCCACCAAATCAGCTCCAGCACTGACCGAGAAATGCTCCAGAACATTTTATTATTTGGCGCAGTGCTGAGCAGAAGTTCGAGGAGAGTGTAAGAAAGTATGACGTATAGAGAGCATTCTGTGAATATTATACGGGCAATGAGTTGATGCTGCTCTTTGTTCTGCACCCAGCTCTTCTTTTGGAGCGTTCATGGCTTTTGCATTGTAGATCGCTAGATGAAATTAAACACCACAATAAAAATAGATAATTACCATACATGGGCTTTTAACTATATGAGAATTTCTGAGCGTAGTTTTTAAGCTATTCTTGTGCTAATATATTTACTCTTCTGTTCACTACCTTCTCTAAAAGTAGAATAAACAGCAGCAAGAAACTGTACACTGTTCCAGCTCTTACTCTAGGCAGTGATATTCAGCTAAATTTGCAGAAAAACAAAACAGTACTTGAAAAATAGAAAGCTTTCTTATTTGCAGAGTAAGTATAAAGTTTAAATTTTATTCTACATTTTAAATTTAGTTGAAAGTGCAGCATGGCCTACACCTAATGTTTTGCAGTTATACCGTGCATGTGCTACTATGTAAATTAGCTGCTATTTAGGTAGTCTATATCTCAAATCTGGACATGACAGAAAAGATTCCTGCACAGGCAAACATCGAGCTGCCTAGGTATGCATACACATTGAACCGCGCCTGCGGAATGAGCTTGTTTCTTCTGGATATAAAGTCAATTATTGCATGGGCTGCTGCTGAAACTCCGCTAATATACGACATTATGCTCAAAATGTTCCTATCTGCCTCTCTGTTTATTCCGTTGTACGATATGTACAGCGTGATGTTTGTTCCCAAAAACGAGAGAAGATATGCTAGATACCCGCCAACAATGTTTTTTGTTGTTTTTAAGGCGTATATTCCCGATATCTGCAGGATCCATGACACACCCATAAGTATTTCTGAGCTTCTCTGCGACCTGCTAGTATATATTACGAGGGGAAGAGCAAGCGCCACAGCCAGCACTCTGGCAAATCCTTCTAAATACCCGTGCACCGGCTTATTTCTGTCTTTCTTTGGCTGGATTTTTATCGATGAGCTGAACACCTGAAGCGCTCTTACAAGCCCATACGAAATGTAGTAGAAGAGGCCTGAAATGCGGTCTAGAACCTTGCGGATTACTCCGTCGTGGTAGCTGATGTTTCCTGTTCTTTCGATCAGTATTAAATCTATGTATATGCGAAAGCACACGCTGAGCGTGAATGCTCCTGTGTATGAAAGTATCTTCGACACAAGGTTGTATGTAATTCGAATGCTCTGGGAGCTGTTTGTTGCTTCTTCTGCAAGGTTTTTGTCCTGGCATATGCCCAGTATGCAAAAAAGCACCATCACCTGCGAGATAATGGTTAGGTACACGGAGGGCACACTGCTGCCCGAGATATAGTACATGTTCTGGGAGATGAAGCTAGAAAGTATGCCCGTTATCTTTCTTATTGTGCTGTATCTTACGCTCATCGTTTGGTCATTTTCTGAGTAGAATCTTTTGTCCACCACAAGCGTGCTGTTTCGGTACGCCATCAGAATTTCAATCAAAACGGTAAAAACAACGGACTTTTTCCTCATCTTCAGGAGAAAGAGATATGCTGCTATCTCCGAGACAACAGAGCTGATGATCGTAGATAGAAGGCCTATTTTGGCAACAATCCACGACAGAATCAGCGAAAAAAGAAGCATGGAGTAGAGCCACCACGGAATGATTCGGTCGGCTATGTCCTTTGTTGTAAAGCGCTTCTCTTCCACAAGAAACACGGAGATAAAAGGAGAAATAGGACGGAAGTTTCTTCCAATAATGAGCAGTGTTTGAAGCATATTAAAAAAATATTTTATCGAGTTCTCCAAAGATGAATGAAGCAGTAACATCTCGCACAAAATATCTGGAAGTCTCGCAGGAGCTCAGAAACAGAATAGTGAACATATACACGGCAAGCATGGAGCATAAAAGAAAGGCAGAAGAGCAAACGGTCCCTCTAGTCGAAGAAATAGACTACAAAGGGATATCGCAGGATCTGGGCATGATTGGAGTGTGCACAGACGAAGTAAAGTACAAAATACAAGATAAGCTGGCGCATTTGGAAGAGATAAGAGACTATGTAAAGGAAGTAACGACCGATGAAAAAGACCAGAGGAAAGCATACCTGTCAGACATCATTAAAAGAGAGATAGCGCAGGCAGAAGACCAGCTGAGTGTCTTGGAAGAGAAAATGCGCTCTCTGATATCAAGAGGAAACGAGAACGTCCTCCAAACTATACAAACAGCAATCAATAGATTGTCTAAGAAGATGGAGCACATGTAGCCATATTAGACGCACAGTATATAGCAGAATTAGGCTAAATAAAAAGAATAATTCTTAGGATTACTATTTCTCTTTCCAATTGCAATTATGCACAGTATATTAAATCATGCTAATTAAAAAATAAAATAGTTCAACCATCTACGAGAAAATAAGACACAGATCTATCTACAGAGCCAATTCTCATCCACACTACCAACACAGTATAAATACTCCAGGGATGCTATTAGTATATCCCGTTGTAGCTGGTAGTTTATGGCCAGGTAGAGTGCATTATTACCATGCCTAGACAAGCATAGAATTGCATTATTTCTGATAGAGTATGAGGTGGACTGGTCTAGTGGTTATGATTCTCGCTTAGGGTGCGGGAGGTGCCGGGTTCGATTCCCGGGTTCGCCCTCTTTTTATCCCCCCGGAGGACAAACTAAAATGAAAAATTCTCTTTTGGGGTTTCTGGTGCACGGCGGGGCAGGGTCATGCTCTGCTGCCCAAATAAAAAGGATGAAATATGCACTAAGAAAGATCCTTGCAGAAAGCTCTTCGCTGGATGAGCACGCTTTGTCTTTGGAGAGATCGCCTCTTTTTAACTGCGGCGTAGGAAGCAATAGAACAGTTGCAAACTCTGTTGAAAATGAGTGCTGTTTGATGGACAGTGCTGGGGCCTTTGCGTCAGTCTGTATGATCCCCGAGAATATTTCACCATACAAAGCGCTTAGTAAGTATGTGCAGGTGGAAAGAGACCCAGGCCTAGTTAAGCCAATTAGCGTGGTATATTCGCAAGGACTGTGCAGCGAGAGAATTAGAGAAGATGAAAATAAAATTACGGAGCACGAGGCAGGAGATACAGTGGGAATAGCTGAAATTAAAAGCAGCACCATTACAGCTGTATCAAGCAGCGGAGGACCAAAGAAAAAATATCCGGGAAGAATTGGCCCCTGTTCTGTCTACGGCGCAAATACTTTCGTGTCTCGAGATGCCTGTGTGCTTATCTCGGGAACAGGCGAGTCACTCATGCGGAGCCATTTGGCGCAGAGAATACACAGGAAAATAGAAAGCATGCACTTTGAAGAAGTCAGAGCAGAAATAGAAGAGTTCATGAAGGAAGAGAAATCTTTTCCATACATCGGCGGAGTGGGAGTGTGCAGAAAAACAGCTAACACACTTTTTATTGTACACTTTCAATCAGCTGCCTCTTTTGTCTACGGATACAATTTTGGAGGCCTTCTAAAGGTCATTTCACACATACAGCCCGAAGGATGCGTGACTGTGAATGTAGAGAGAGTTGATGTAGAATAGGTATCTGATTAGTGCAGAAGAGTGGTGATGTATAGATAGATACAGTTTCGAAGAGAATAATGAATATAGCCCAGAGTACGGTAAAGCTTTGGAGATACTAATGATTTAAAAAATAGTTAAGTCAAGCACAAACAAAATATGCAGGAGCAATGGATGTGCGATTAATAAAGATACTTTTGCTAATGTTCTATCATTAATTGAACACTGATTAAATCTCAAGTGCACTATCCTGCCATTGGACACGTCATAAACAGCTAATTAAGTGCTTTAAAGACTAATTAAAGCTTCTTAAAAGTGTCAGCTAGGCAATCTAAATTAAAAGCAAACTATTTAAAGAGTTTAAATTTAAAGATACAAAAGTTGCAAGATGAATAGCTCCACCGATGCAATAGATATAGTCACAGATAGCGACAACCAAGAAAGAAACACTGAAAAGAAAAGATCAATGTTTAGCAGGTCTAAGCATTACATCTTCATAGGACTGTTCGGAGCTCTCAATCTCCTCATAAGCAGCCCTGTCCAGCTCATCGAAGTGTTCAATGAGAAACTAAGAGTAGCAGCATACCTAAAGAATTCACTGGAGTACTCAGAGTGTATGGGCCCTAGATCAGATAACTACAACTCCACAGCCTCTCTATTCTGCTGGGATAAATACTTGGACAAGACAAGCGAGTTCTCCTACAAAATGATAGATGACTATGAAAAAACTCTGTGGCTCACTTCCAGTAGTAGCAGCCGAGAGCTAACAGATATCCTGTTCAGGCTGAACGGCATAGGAACATCGCTGATTTTCATGGGGGGACTGCTAGGGTACTTTTTGTGCCTGGTGTTCTCAAAAGTTTTTAAGAAACATCCAAAGTGTGTTAACACTGCATTTGCCGCATCCATTGCAGCTGCAAGTGCGGCTATTTTCTTTTACAGCAGCACTATAATGGATAGTAGGGTGAATAGGAGCGAGATAGAAAGTGCGCTTTCTTTTCTGATTTATTTGCGTGGGTTACTCGGAATGAACATTTCCTTTTTCAGCTACTACATAAGCATTAACTCCAGCAAAATATTCGGAAAAGGAAAAAGTAAAAACACCAGGATCGCGCAGTTTGGAGCAGTTCAGACGATCTCTGGGTCTCTAGCCTTCACCGTTCCTATACTTTTCAACTGGATCTATTTTAACGGCAGCTGGCTAGCATTTAACGCATTCACTTTGTCTATGTTTGGGCTGTCGCTTGTGATAGTATTATTGCTAAACTATTTACTTGCCATAAAAAGCAGTGAACAAGAGCACAATTACGAGCTGCAGAATATGCTCTCAGTGGAAGATGAGAAGAAAGTAGAAGTTGTTTGTAGAGAAAGTACATCAGATCTATTCAATGGAGAAGAGGAGGTTAAACCTAGATTATCGCATCGTATCTTGAGTAGTCTGAAGAAAAATGTAGGAAGATTTTTTAAGTGGTATCCTGTTATTCTGGTATTTTATCCTGTTTTGTTTTTCATGACAGGAGCCAACTTGTTTTTATACCACAAGGATGTTATTCTTCATTCAACAGCAGGAATAGCTTCTGCAGTCTTTCTCTCTTCACCGCTCATGGGAGGAGTTCTTATGCTCACTGTGTTTACGAAAATGAAACAAGGAAAGCTGGCTGTGTATGGATTTGGTGTAACCACCATTCTTGAGATCTTTTTTTATCTTGTGAACCAGAGCATACTCTCTGAAGGCATAACGAGCACCTTATCAGTTGCAGTCTCATCGCTAATTCTTATCTGTATAAACTGCACCCTTGCTCCTCTTCTAGGCACTCTTCCTTTTTACATCAGACACGACTCACCAAGTGTAATAGCTATATATGGACTTATGATGCAGCTATCCAATCTGCTGTGCTACATTGCTCTGTCTCACCTATACTCCGCTGTGCAATTTAACTTTGTGTTGCTGTCTGTGGTTTGCTGTGGGCTAGGCGTCTTGAGCAAGAGGTGGCTGTTTAAAGAGTACAAAGAGCGAAGTTTGGAGTGAATAAAAAACCATTTATAAAGTGTAGAGTATGTAGAGAATAATAATATTTTGTGCTAAATGTAAATAATTTTAAATAAATAAAACATATCGGCTGCAGAGCTGTAAAAGCTACGAGAAAAGATATTCTCGGGCTATTATCTACACTCCAGTGATTTTACGCTGTTCAGATGGCAATTAATAAGGCCTCTGGCTTTCTACTGATCAAGAACTATTGAGAGATCCATTCTGTCGTTGCGGTTGGAAAGTAATTTATCGCAGTGTCCAAGTAATACTTAGATACATAATCACAAAGACATTCTTGATAAAGATTTGATGCAATATTTCATCAATTAGTTGCTAGAGAAAAGTATAAGTAAAATAATTTTTATTTTTCACATGAATATGGCAGTAACAAGAAAGAAGATATACAAGGTTCAGGTGTTTATAATGTTTTGGGCTCTTATGATAGGATTATCTGAGATTAGCCCCAATAAAGTAGCAGTAAACTGTTCACAGGAGCCCGTTAAATTTAGCATAAAAAGAAGATATCCAAGCAGTAAGTTTGGTATTGATGAATATAAAAGCGGGCTGCGCGTTGGCAATGTGTCAGAGAAAGTAGAGCTATTTGAGAGGTTTATAAGCCGAGACAAAGGCTTGGCTGATAAAGAGAGCAATCCTTCAAAAGTACAACGGAATTCTATTCTCTTTCCAAAAGAATCAACCTTTTCGAGGATACAAAGGGAATTTGACCCTCCTTCTAGTGAACATAAATCTCGTGGTTTTGTAGATGCCATAGTACACCCTGATAAATCTTATGAAATTATAGAAGCCGGCCCTCTTGATGATAGGGGAGAAAGTGAATATTACTTTTCAACAAAGTTTAGGGCTTCTACCAGTGATGATCATGCACCCCAAAGACTTGCAGACTATATAGAATATCCTGATGGTCCTTCTCAAGTTGCACAAACCAATTCTGGTAGTGACAGCAGAAATGAAGTATACGCTGATAGCAGACTTAGCAGATCGTATGAGGACTTAAGCGCAACGAACGCCAATCCTGAACAAAACAAGAACGACTCTCAATCCAGATATCTTAGCTATAATTCTTTGAACACCATACATGAGAAAATATCCGAGTATAACCATACATTAGATAGCGCAAATGCCATCTTGGAAGATCTAGATAATGCTTTAGGTGTCGATACAGACAATCGTACTGCTGCGTCTTCTATAAGCAGTGATATTGCATCTACATATAGCGCTATAGAATAAAAACAATGAGATATGTATTTTAATATAGTCTATATCTATAGTTTTATCATACTTTATTTTTACACTGAAGAAACAAAGACTCATACAGCCACCAATATTTACTATTTTTAAATAAATATTAAATTTAAACTGTAAACTGTGCAAAAAGAGACAGTATATGTTCCTATTTTCTTAGACTTTATTTAACTGCAGAGTGTTCGATTAATTTTTACCAAAGATACACATTTCCTAATAAGTTCATTTTAGTTTATTTTAGCAGCTGTTGCAGTGCAAATGTCATTAACAAATGTTTCTATGCGCGGGTTTTTATCAGTGCAACTGCAGTTTCAAAAGAAAGCCCTTGTTTTAGAGCACACAAAAGGAACACGATGTGCTTAGACTGGACAGGTGGCTTTTGGAAAACTCTCTGCACTTTGGCGCGTTCTGCCTGTGTGGCGTATTCTTTTATTATTTCAGTGCTGTTTACTCTATCTCTATACTCGTGTATTGCATTCGCCAGCTTGCCTAGTACTTCTGTGTCTGCAGAAGAGCAGTGTATGTTCAGTGTTTTGCTCTCGTTTGATAGAATCTCAAACTGTTCTATTTTTTTTTCTATTATGTATCCCCTGTGCTCCACTCCGCCAATGAAAAGAATGCCTTCTATGTACGACTCCTCTGTTCCCTTCTGAATTGCTGCTAGAGACAGAAATAGCTTATCGGAAATGTGCACGACAAGGTCTCTGTCTTTTCTTTTAACAAATTCCTTATTTTCAAAGAAAGAGATAATATACCTCTTTTTGTCTTCCTCTTTCTCTAGCTCTTTCATTGTATTGGCAACATCGCCCAGTCTTTTTGATATTTCTCTAAGGATGGCAGGCTTTAGTGTGCATGTTGCTCCAGAGTATGTTTTTTGTTCTATTTTCTCCTGTTTTATGATGCCCTTCTCCTGTAGCTCTTTTCTTGCTATTTCCAGATGCGCTTCTGTTTGGATGTTCTGTTCTGCATACGACACGTTGCTAAGAAACTGTTTGGCCAGACACGCCCATTCTTCCTGGCTCTGCGATGACGGCATTTCATACTCTTCTGCCCCGTCTTTTGACATCTTTATTTTTGGCTCTTTGAAGAAGTCGCTTGCGCGCATAAAAAATATTTTGCTTCTACTCATTAAATAATTCATCGAGTCTTTTTCTTTCTTTGTCCGACAGCCCAGTAGACTCTGTTTTTTTTTCTATTTCCTTTGCAGAGATGTCTCCTATCTCGAGACACAGCACGCCCGAGCGCATGAATATGATTGGTATCTTCAGCTCTTCCTTGATTTGTTTGTGCTTTGGCGATATTCCCAGGAAGTAGTGGTGGGGATTGTTTTCTCCGACCATTTCGGTAAGACACTCGCGTGTTCTAAACTCGTCTTTGTGTGTGCACTTCTTAAGAGCAACGTATCCAATGAGCTTTTTGTCCTTAACAAGCTCTGTGTATCTTTTGTACTCGCAGAGGGTTGTGCATATTCGAATCTTTCCATTCAGCAGCTTCTCAAGCACATCCAGGCTCATTTGCGAGTTGTTATACGTGGACAGAAAGTTATGGTCCGCTAGGATGTTGAAGGGCGCCCTGTACCCGACTTTCTCCAGGCTTTTTACCAATTTTCTAATTTGTTTTAACCGTGCTGTTTTCATTGCAAAATTTGCAAAATGTCTTCTGTTATGCACTTGTGAAAAAATAGCCAAATATTCAGCACCGCAGAAAGTATTCTTTTTAGAGCAGGTTTAGCACATATCTGTCTACTATGCTAATTATATACATAAGTACACTGTCTCAATCTAGTGATGATAAAAACAGGTTGTCAGTTATACGTATCGAATTTTCTTAAAGACTTTGGTTACTATCAGAAAAAGCTACAAAGTCTGATTGCACTAAATACTAGCTGTGCAACAACAAAAGAAATATTCTCGGGCTATATTGCACAAATCAATGATAAGCTAAGATTGTTTATTGCAGTTATATCAACCATTTATCTGAAGCAGATAGAAAAGGCTATGCGCATAGCTCTACCAAGTGCTATGAATATTCTATCGCTCACTTCAAACTCGTGTATATGTGCGATGTGAACATGTTTAGCCCTTTAAGCACCTGTTTTATAATGCTAACGAGCAGGAGCAGAAAGACTGAATTGACAATGAAAGCCTCCCACCCGTCCAGCACCGATATGCCTATTTCCACAGAGTACCTGTAGTACCACAGCAGCGCCCATTGTCTAAGATATCTAAGCATGAGACTGGGAATGCTCAGCTTTTCAATAGGAACTGATTCTTTTTTCTTCATGCTTTGGAGATCCGTGCTTCTTTTCATCTATTTTCCAGCCGTGTTTCACCCAACGCAGCTCTATGGCCGGTGCAAGATTGTAACTAGTCTATTTTCAAACGAATTTTAAAGTGTGTTTCGAGTCATATAGACACGCCGAAGCGAAGTGCACTTATACAGAAGGCCGTGAAACTAATTGAAACAAAAGAATGAAAAGCGAGGAAAAGAGCAAAGAGAAGAGCAAAGAAGAAAAGAAAAACATGCCTGAGAAAAAAGAAGAAGATCTTTTTGCCGAGAAAAAAATAACAGTAAACAAGAAAGAGATCCCGGAGAACATACAGGCAGAGGTTGCAGACATGTGCCTGAACGCAGAAGATATCAAGAACCCAGAGAAGTATGCAGACATAGCCACAAAGCTGAAAAAAAAGCTGGATAAGAAGTTCGGCGATGGGTGGAACGTAATAATCGGGGACAACTTTTCAGGGTCGTGCTCTGTGGCCAAGAACAACTTCCTGGAAATAAGCATAGCAAACGTGCGTGTTCTTGTGTTTAAGTCCAGTGCCCATGTCTCTTCAGAGAGTGGTAAATAGAATAAATAGATAGACTGTTTCTGTGTTTGTAGCTACTTATCTCTAAATAGTGCACAAATCTTTTATGCGAGTGGGCAGTAGATAGAAGCACAAGTCATTTCTGGTCTCTACAGACAGATCCAAAAATAAGCTGTTCTGTGAATCTTATATTACTTGCTACTATTTTTAGCACACTAATATTTTTATACTAGCTGAAAACAAAAAGATAAACATCGATTGCATTGAGAGTGCTATAAAGAAAAGAGCAGTGTTCTACCTTCAACAGAAGTATCTGCAGGCTGCTATGCACAGACTAGGCACAAAGATGCCTGAAACAAAGATTTCTGTGTGTTTTCTGCGGGTTTATCTTATCAAAAGATCACTAATCAGCTCAATTTTCTTCTAGAAAATTTGCTTTATTTTAATTTTAATTTTTTTTATTCTCATGAATAAGTTGATCAAGAAAGTGATCATTAGCGTAGGAGCTATTGGACTAGTGCAGCTGGCTCATGGAAGATCTGTGCCATTCAACCCAAATAAGCTGAATCTGCTGCAGAACAGCAACTGGATGGTGATGCCCGCAAACACTCTGTTTATTTATAAAGGAGAAGAGAACAAAACTGTTGAAGCTCCGGTGGTTGAGGAAAGACTAGCGCTCGAAGCGCCCGGAAAAGAAGATCTGAAGTACGGGCCCAATGTCAAGTCGCTAAGAGCAAGACTACTAAATCTCTTTAAAAAATCTGAACCCGTGGAAGAGGAAAAAAAAATAGAGCTTGTGGAGCTCGTAGAAACAGAGAACGAGATAGAGCAGGAAAGAGTGGTGGAGCAGGAGTTTGTCCAGGGCTCTGAATACGAGGCAGAAGTAGAGCAGAGCTCGCACGCTGTCGTCATAAGCGCAGAAAAAACAGATATCAACAACAACTCTGTAGTAGAAAATCAGGTACTAGAGGTAGTGAACACAGAGACAGAGGAAAAAGTGGCCTGCACGTCTCTGGTACTGCACAGCAAAGCAGTAGTAGAAGAGGGCGCCTTCGAGAACGTTGCAGCACCTGCAAAAGTTGCAGATGTCGTTGAGATTGACGAGGTGCCTGTAGTAGAGCCAGAGATCGTAGTAGCAGAAGAGAAAAAGGAGATCGCCGTTGTAGCACCACAGCCTGAAGAAGAGCTGTACTATTTCTGGGTTGACACTCTGATTGATGGAACAACAGTCACGAGACTAATAACCAGAGACGAGTGTATCCGCCTGAACAAGGAGGCCAGAGCAGTAATGCTGGAAACTGAAGAAGCCAACAAGTTCCTGTACAACATCTCAAACAACATTGAGAAGGCAAAAGACAGCGCAAAGCTGCTTACTTTGTCATCGATACTGTACAAGGTTGCATCTGTGATAATGAACTCCTGGGACAAGCCATTCAGCGCTCTAAGAGTCTACGGCATCTCAGTCTTTTCGCTCTTCATGCCCATCATAGCACTGATCGATCTGCTCGACAAGAGACACCACAGACAAAAGGGAATTATGCTGAGCATATACGCTATTCTGGCTGTGTACCAGATAAAATCCATCATTGTGGTGGGAAACAACGCAACATTCACCAACACAATCATAATGAACATGGCAGCAATTTCTGCTCTGTGCAGCATTGTCTACCTCTTCGCCATTGAGTACGCAGCAAGAACAAAACACAACGAGCAGTTCCCAGGACAGAGAAGAAAGAACACTGCAAGAGCAGCATCGTTCATATCCCTCGTGTGCATTGGCCTGCTAGCAGCTCTGGCATACATCCATCCCTTCAGCGTAGAAAAACCAAACCTCATCTCGCAATCTCTGTTCATACGCACCCCCCAGAACATCTACAACATCATACACGCATCCATTGCTGTTTTGTCATACTGTGCTTCGATCATGATCCTTAACATGAGACCCACAGTTGACATAATGAACAAGACAGAAAAAATAAGAGTGGGTTTAAGAATTGGACAGATTCTCGTGGCAATGGTGCTCGGCATGATGCTCACACAGACTATCCAGCCAGAGTACTCTGTCATGAGCACACAGCTGATACAGCTGGCTCTGATTGTTACAGGACTGAGCATTCTGTTCGGAAACGGGGCAAGATACCTCCCAGAAGACTCGGTGGTTAAGAGACACAGAAATACCATCTCCATGGTTATTTTTGCAATTTCCGCCAAGATACTTCTCTCTCTGGCTGTCTATCTGATCATCAAGAAGCTCGGCATGGAGAAGGAGGCTCTTGCATTCGTTATGAAGGGACAGAGCAAACTATCTCAGATGTATTTGGCTCTCAATCAGACAGCCGCTGGGAAGTTCTTCTTCTCGGTAATAGCGTACATCAAAGCCATGCTCATCAGCGGAGCAGAGAAACTCAGTGAGCTCAAGTGCCAGATGGAAGAAGGATTCAACAAGTCACTCCACTGCATTGCGGGTGCTGCAAATGGGCTGAAACAGCACGTTGCAGGAACAAAAGCAAATGTTTAGCTAGATAAAAATAAATAGTTATTATTGCCTGCGGGTTTAAATTGAATAGATTATCGCGTGGGCTTTTAAGTAGGTTCACTCATTAGGGCAATGCTGCACTGCAGAGCTGTTCTTTATTTATTTTTATTGACTGATGGGCTTATTTTGCGCAGATCTTCACTGTATAAACCTCATTTACCGCCAATCAGCATGTAAAACTCAAAAAAGAGCAGGAATAGCTGTATTTGCACACTACTGCACGGTCTGATGATCTCTAATAAAAATGTATGATTGAAAACTGCCAGTATATCCTAAAAATAACGGCATTTACAACGTAAAATAGCTCAAGAAGCCCAGATCCAGGAGATAGCGCACAGTTGGCAATGGATAAAATGTGTCAAACTAGTTGGGTATTTATTTGCAATAAAGCTGGGTCAATCTGCAACTCTTACAGATCTTCCATTAACTCGTATTATTCCTATGCATCTATGTAGCTGTATACTATAAATAGGGCTTATCGTATGACAGATGCCCGCAGGGTACAAAAGTTATTATATAAAGTAATTTGGCACTTGCAGAGCGCTCTTATCCTGTATTTGCTCGGGCGATGACTCAAACTGCGTAAACTGGTACGCCCCGTGCTCATCCATTTCCATCAGTGATGCTAAGTTGCCGCATCTGTAGCAGTAGTTCGGAGCAGAAAAGACGGTAACCACGCCCTTGTGGTGGTTCCAGTTGTGGCCGTTCATCACCAGCTGATGTGCTCTGCAAATCATTTTTAGTCCGTTCTTTTTGGTGAACTGCTCGGTGATGTCCTCTCCAAAGGTGTAGCCTGCTCCTCTGGGCGATGCTCCCCAGCCCTTTCTTTCTTCGGGGTCGCTCCACAGCAGATCGCACATGCCTCCCTCATGTGGCACCTCCTGCACTCTATCTAGTTTTCTGATGTCATCCAAACTCTCCACCGCAGGACTTAGTCCTCCGTGTAGACAAAATACGTCATCGTTGACAATCGCAGCGAGCGGCAGATAATCAAAAAGATCTGTGAAGTATTTCCAAACGTTTGACGAGCCGTACTTCCTAAAACACTCGTCGTAGAAGCCGTACACCTGTGTGATCTGTCTGCTTTCGTGGTTTCCTCTGAGCATTCCCACAGACTCTGGGTGCTTGATCTTCAGGCACAGAAGAAGACTGAGAGTTTCCACGGAGTGGTATCCTCTGTCGACGTAGTCACCCATGAACAAATAGGGAGTCTCTGGAGGGAATCCGCCTACTTTAAACAGCTCAAGAAGATCAAAGAATTGCCCGTGGACATCACCGCATATGGTTATTGGGGCCTTCAAGGAAATAAGAGTGCTCTCCCTCTGGAATATTTCTATTGCCATTCTGCACAGCTCTTTAACATCAGTCTCTGCCAATGGCTCACACGCCAGAAGCTGCTCCAGCCACTTATCCACCATAAAACTATAAAATAAAAATATTTCAGATAATAACCAATATGTCGAGCGCACTCAGCGAAAACTACGACGAAGTAGACATTGACGTAATGGAGTACGACGCAGCAACAGGAGTATTTACATACCCGTGCCCCTGCGGAGACAGGTTTGAAATAAGTTTAGAAGAGCTGTGCAATGGGGAAGAAATAGCTTACTGTCCTTCGTGCTCATTGGTGGTAAAAGTCAACTATTTGCCAAATGATCTGGAAAAGATACCCATGGCAGCCCAGAAGAAAGCAGTTAAGCTGAACTAAGCAGCACACAAAATACACACACTCTTTACACAGTGTATTGGCAGCGTATAATCACATTTATTCACTTTATGCGGTATAATTTGGTAGATTAGCAGATTATCCTCGGACTATTACCGGGCTGTACCTTTGCCTCTGGGCTATAGTTCTCATATAAATACATAGACATCATTCATCTACTTCTTGGATTGTTCTTGGGCTATTCTTGCACACTCTTATCTTGTAGCTGAGAGAGTGTTCTTATTCTGCAGTCTATCTGTTTCTTCTTTTCTCTTCTCTGGCTGGTGTGTTTTATTTGCTTTCTTTGGTTATGCGTTGGTTTACTATTTTCATCGGATGTTCTTCCAATGGCATTATAATATTTTTTTTATTTTAGTCCCTGCATGAGAATACTTCTAACAGAAGAAAAAGTAAATATTCCAGAAGGATGCGTAGTTACAGAGAAGAACAAAATCATAACAGTCACCGGAGCCAAGGGAACTGAGTCGCTAGACATTTCTCACATGCTGCTGACCATTGATATTGAGGAATCAGTGCTATACGTAAGACTGTGGTCAGCCAGAAGAAAGGAGACTCCCATTGTGAGAACTTGTGCCAGCTTGATCAACAACTTGATCATTGGATGTACACAGGGATTCTCTTACAAGATGAAGGCCATCTACAAGCACTTCCCTATCACCATTCTGGTAGAGGAGGCAGGAAAGAAAGTGATCATAAAGAACTTTTTGGGAAGCAAGTGCGATAGAGTAATAAAGATGAGAGGCAGCGCAGTTGCCAGACTCAGCTCGGAAAAGGACTACTTCCACGTTGAAGGGCCCAACATCCAGTCAGTCTCGCAGTCCGCAGCAAACATTTCTCAGAAGTGCATTCCAAAGAACAAAGACTTGAGAGTCTTCCTAGACGGAACATTTGTCGTTTCAAAGGGAACTATTGACCAGTAAGAGGTAGCAACGCAATAAAAGAATATAATCAAAATATTAAAACTATTCCCATCAATTGTCTTCTTATATATGCTGTGTGTCTTTCGATTTTTTGTATTTACGTTTTACTAGCTCATCATCTCTTAGTAGAACATTTCTATCTCTGCAGCTCTACTCTTTCGATATTCTTCTAGTGTTATCTCTCAATAATCGCTTGTTTCTGTAGTAGATTGCTGTTTTTTATCTATGAACAATCTGGTCATTTGAACTTTCTCACTTACATTATTTTGCACATCAAAATATTACAGATAAAAAGTGTATAAATAGCAGTACAGTTACAGATTGGCTGGTATTTCTTGTAATCTGATGGTTTTTATGAAGTATTGGATAGATAACAGATGAGCGGCTTATAACTGGCAAGTGAAGTGTATTCAATAAAGTGTATATTTTTATTTCTTCTCTTCGGATTCTTCTCCATCTAAACGAACATAGTAGTACACAGCATTGAAGTAAATATCGCTGAGAATCTGGAACATCGACATGTTGCTGTCGTCATCTGTTGCATCTGAGGAAGAGAAGAACTTCAACAGAGGATTCTCCATCAGCTTCTTGTTCTTCCACTGGATCGATGTGTTTATGCAGTCTGCACTCTCAAAAAGAGAGAACTCTTTCTCTAGGACCGCGTTCTCGAAGTATTCGTTTTCTTTTGCCTTGACGCCTATGTAGTACTTGAAGTCTGGCCTGTACTCCACGGATATGCTCTCTATCCATGAAATGTCCACGCTCGCTTCCTCCTGGCCCTCTCTGTAGTCGAACTCCTGCAGAATCTCCACAAAATCAGAGTATACCAGAACAGACTCCCAGAATCCTTCTATTTCCTTGGCCAAAATGTTTCTCTGGTTCAGAGTTTCCTTCAGGCCGTTGAAGTGCTCGAGCTTCAGAAGGTATTCCTGCTTCAGCGCTTCGATATTCGCCAAGTCTATCTTGGACTGAATTTCCACCAGTTCTTTAAGTGCATCGTTTGGGTTCATAAAAAGTTTTATTTCGAAAGCTATGAAGTATCTTGAGGCAGAGTCTACCACAGACATCATAGGGGACATTCTGGAAATAAAAGAAAGCATTGCAGGGCTGTCTATTCTGCTGGAAACATACTCCCTGAAAATGACAAGGAAGGAAAGGAAGAAAAGCCGATCAGGAAAATACAAAAGCATGTCATCAATGGTCACAGATGCTCTAAATTTGCTATTTTTTGGATATGAAATAAAGGTAACGTTTCGCGATATAAAGATTGTCTCGGAAGAAGAGTGCAGGTCAGATCTTACAAATAAACTGTTTACTATTGGAATCACTAAAAACTACCAGGAGATGAGCGGGTGGGTTGACAGCGTGTTTGGCGTGATTAGAAAGTGTGCGGGAGAGGACGCCAAAATAATCCGAGTGTGCATTAAAACAGGCCCCTTCGAGAAGTGCCACTGGAGTGAGTGCATAGTGGCATACGGGAAAGAGCTGAAGAGAGTTTCTCTGTTTGTGGTGCTATACGCAAGCCAGCTAAACTCACCCATCATGTAAAAACTTCAAATTGTCACTATTGCCGTAATCCGCGCAAACTGTAGATAAGTTTCTAAAATAAATTTATTTATACTTTACATCTTACAGGTCTACCTCCAACCACTGCGCACGAAGGGCTAAACTAGGGTAGTAGAGGCTACATTGAACGTAAGAGCACAAGAGCGGTTTATTTTAATTGCTATTTTAATGCACCGAATCAGAGTAATCAGAGTGAATGAGATTGCAAAAGCGTATAGAAATGTAAATAGAATTGCTGCTGGTTTTCTTGAATATATTTTTATTTTATCTCTTGTCGTTTTGTCTATTCTTATTCCCTAGCTGATCTCTTAAATATATTTTGTTTTTACTTTAGCTTTCTAACGATATTTGGGTTCTCTTTTTTTACTTTGCGGGCAAGCTCATGGGCATCCTCGTACTTTCTTTTGTTTTTTATTCTCGCATTTCTCTTCTCTGGGTTTACTCTTGTCTTTTTGTCTGTAACTGACTTGTTCTTTTGCATGTGGTAGTCAATTGGCCTTCTGTTTTCTGTGTTGGGAAGTAGGAGGTCCTCTGTCTCTTTTATGATGTTGGAGCCTGCCACTTCTTCAGACTTCTTTGCCTTGTCCACCAAATCGATGTACACGCTTAGCGTTATAAGCGTTTTTTTTATTGGGTGGTTCTCTTCTAGCTGGTTGTACAGTATTAGATTGAGAATGTAGCATCTTAAGAGAGACTCCTTGAGAGATGCTTCTTCCGGCGTCAGCTGGCTGAGGGCGTTCTTCACTTCTTCTACATTTTTAAATTTCAGCTCTTTGTATTTTTGCGTGTCTGCTGCCATAAAAATTTTAATTATGGAATGCCATGGTAATAAGCTTATTTTTCTAAAAATACCAAAGAGTGTTACAGGAGAGGTGGAGATACGAGAGTTCAGCAACAAAAGCGCAGCAGGCTCTGTCTTGCTCACACAGGACAAAACATACAGGCTGGTGTGCCGCGAGAACAGCAACACCTTTTTAATGAAAAGCGAGGACGCGCTGTCTAAGATAAACATGTGTCTGGAGTGCAGAGAGCTCAAGTACGGAGAGAAAGAGATAGTGGACATTCTGCCTGAAGTGAGTTTGGTAACTGTGAAAAACGCAAATTTGTATATTCCCAAGGAGAGAGTGATGTCTCTGTATCCGATGACAGACGCAGAGTACAGTGCTATTCTGCACAAAAACCGATCAGTGTGGAGAGATGTCTCGGGAGCCCTGTACTTTGCCAAAGTGGAAACTAAGTCGGTTATAGAGGTTCTTCTTTTGGCAAGGAGTCTGGCAATCAGCAAAGAAACAAAGGATGGAGAAGAAATAAAAAAGGCATTTGTTGAGATACTGCCAGAAATACTCTTCCAGATAGTAGAGTTCTACATAGAAGACGGGTCTATAGACGATGCAAGGGTCAAACAAGATCTTATAGGCCTTTTTAAGCAGGTATCCGCAACAGAAGCTGAGTTTAACAGAAGTATAGCTATCAACGGGCTAGTGTAGTATATCCATGTCTATTATTGTCAATGGACAGCAGTCTAAAACAGTAAAACCGTTATTTTTCTATAAACTATGACTACTATTCTATAAATTAAATTGAAGTATGTTTATCTTTGCGCTGAGAAGATTGCACTAGATTATATTGGCAGTGTGTTCTTGTCTTGTGAACATTATTTGCATCTGTGCAGATGAGTGTTTGTTTATTAGTAGATTGCTGTTTGCATAAAAGGGCAAAAACAACTCATTCATCTATTCATTTAAAGTGTTAGTATAATGCTGTGTTTTTCAAAAAAATAAATAAATAGTACACCTTTTTATTTTAAAATATTTACTTAAGACTTGCATATAAAAGAAAAAGAAAGACTTAACAATGAAGGAATCATTGCAAAGAAGTGAATGTTTTAATCAGCTGACTATGTAGGATGTACCAGCATTATATACTTAGAACCATTAGATAGATATAACGAAATTGATCAGAGAGTAAATTGGATCTTCTAGCATTGTATTTTTACAAGTATGCCTATTAATGTACACATCCTATGTCTGTTCTCTAGTAGAGAGGCTCTTTTCTATTGATTGATAATATAGATCAAATTGCTATAGCTGTTTTGTGATAATACTGTACAGTGCATATAAGAGTTTATTTACTGAGTGCTTCTCTAAAATATTTTAGAGAAAATTGCTTGTCTGCCAGCCAATGCAAAATTAACACTGAATTCAGATGGATAAGCATTCTAGTAAAACATTCTTCGATTAGATTATTATAGCTATCTCATTGTTCATCCTTCTTCTCCTTCTCAAACACCATGTCTAGTACTGAGTTCAGCTGTTCCTTTGGATTATCCTCCAAGAAAATATCACCTGCAAGGAAGAACATTCTGCAGTGCGGACTGAATGTTTCAAAGTTAATTTCGATTGAGTCTTTTTTGAGCTTTGAGATGTTCTTGATAAACAAAACATCCAGGTTGTATATAGTTGTCTTATTCAAAGCGTCACCTTCATACAGCGGTTTCTTGTTCAGAACAATGTTGGTCAACTGGGCCTCGTCCTCTATCCACAGGAACTTTAGTGCGTTGCTAGCCACCAGAACATGCTCATCGATGATTTTAAAATCGTCCAGATTTGATTTCTTCAGATACAGCATTTCTAGATTCTGCCCGTTAACAAGCTGGATTATTTTTTCAGTGTCTTCTGGGCCTCTGCTATTTTTGATAATCAGCGTTTTCAGATTGGAGAAGCATGTCTCGTGGGATGAAGAGTTAGAGTCCTTCATTTTAAAGGAAAACGTATTAATGGTCAGTCTTTGGAGGTTTGGAAATAGAAGGAGCAGATTGTAGATCGAGTTGACTTTTTTTAGGTCGTTTACTCCATAGATGTCCACCAGCTCAAGAGAAGTAATTTTTTTCAGCTCCTTAGCGGAAAAGACTGACACCTCATTGTCGACTATAAATAGATTCTGAATGTGAAGCGAGGTGATGTTCGGATAGGTTTCGATTAAACCAAGCAGAAAAGCCAGGTCTTGTGTGTATATTCTGTTAACGTCTATGTCTGCGTCTATTTTTTTCCCGTATATTACAACCTTCTGGCAGTTATGCGCTAGCATTTCAGTGATGGCACCGTAGGAGAGGCTTCTTGCAAACTCTTCAATGCACACTCTTATGGTCTGCGGGCTGATTTGGCTGGGAAGCACCACTTTATTCTTAGTGATCTTGGTTCTAAATCTGCACAGCTGCGACGTTTTTTGCAAAAACATGCCGCCTGTAGCATAGGAAAAAGTGTTTTTGGCGGTGCTCCAAAGATTTGGAAGTATCGACATATTTAGCGGCAACGAGACACAAAAAGGAAGAGCGCTCAAAAGTACAGCTATCAGTGAAAAAGCGCGCACAAGTTGCATAATACGAGATAGACTGAAACATTTTATTTATTTCTGATTCACTCATTGGGCATATTATAGAGAAGATAATACGTGCATAAGATATCCTCTGCTGTTGGTGTTGACAGATGCGTCGCAAGAACAGGAGGAGTATTCGCTGTGGATATGGGAAAGCGTGTTGGATAGATTCTCAGTAACAGCAATGCTGTCCTCCCATATGTCTTTGCATATGCTGATAATATGGTCTTTGTTCTTTGTGATCGCTGCTATCTGCAGTATTAGCGTGTACACTTCAACAGACTCTTTTGACCGCCCCCAGAAGAGAGACAGAAAGACGCTCTTGCTGTTTTTCTTCCTCCAGATCCTGTAAATAATAAGGGCATGTCTGGCAAGGCTGGATGTACAGCTTTCATTCTGTGTCTCCGCTAGAACTTCTTCGTGGTCTTTGAATATTTTGTAGATATCTTCAAAAATGATTCCAAGGGCTGCGCTGTTGCTTATCAGCTCCTCTGGGTACTGTTTTATGGTTAAAACAGAAATGCACGAGATGTGGGCGTAGTTTTTAAGACTGGATAAAATTGAAAAAGTATTTTTTACCTTTATCACGTTGCTAACATTTAGCCGAGAGATGACCGTGGCTATTTCAAGGTATTTCTCAACCCACACATTCGTGTTGCAGTTGTTGATGGCGTGTATGATCAAAGAAAGTATTCGGCGGGAGAGCCTAAGCATCCTGAGGGGTGTTATTGGGTCTATTGTGGACTCTTTGTAGATGTCCCATCCCTCTTCGTATTTCCTAAGGCGGATGCACCGGTCGATCATTGCCTCAGAGGCTCCTTCGGTGTTTCTGCTTACATGCCACGTGTGGATGGATACGTTCCAGTGGTGTTCTCTGTATTTGTCAATGTACCAGTTTTTTATGGTGTAGAATAGAACCAAATTCTCTTCCTCAGTGTAGCACGGCATGTCGCTGTCCTCTGCTGCATTCTCCACCAGGTTTCTGTACTGTTTGCCAATGGGGGGTGTTCGCCCGTCAATGTCGACATTTTTCAGTTTCAGGTCGTTTTTGATCTGTGTGAGAATGCGGGGTATCTTTTCTTCTTTCATGCACAGAGCAGCAACGATGGACAGCTTGTATGTGCCTATTGTTTTGGTCTTGCTTTGCTCGTAGACCACAAAGAATCTTTCGTACTCTTTTCTGTTCAGAAGAATCTCCAGTATGTGGTAGTAGTCAGAGGTGGCTATATTGGACTTGTCCATCGCGTACATCGACTCGTAGAGCTTGAAGGTGAGCGACTCAATGTCCTGTTCGCAGAGAAGATCAAACTTTCCCACGTGCACAGGCCTGAAGGTGCGGTCTAGCTGGACAGCCAGTAGGATTATCTTTTCAAAATCGCAAATAATTTTAAAAGATTTGTGGCGATTAAAAGACAGGAGGTTTCTGTGGTTTCGCATGACGCAGAACAGTAGGTTAGAGTATAAAGAAATAGGATGCGTGTACGGAGAGTTCAGGGGGCAGTCCTCTATGGAGCACGACTTAAAACACTGAAAGATGGCTTCAATGACGGTTTTGTTTTCTTTCATATTTAGGGCAGAAGCGCTTTCGCTGATTTTAAGAGGTTGTGCAGCGCAGTCCTCATACGGGCTGCATACTGCAGATTCTGTTCCCATAAGAATTTTTTGCATAAAGATAAAACAATGTAAACATATATATTTGTTACATATTGTTTTGATTTTGAAGGAAGATTAAGTGAGCCGTATGAGAATATTCGTGCCGCTCCAAAAAATGCCAAAATTCCACTAAAAAGAAGAGCACTACAGGACGCCATTGCGCCTTACAAAAGAATGCAGCTCGGAAACACAATGTTTATCTCTCTTTAAATTGCATGTGACACAGCAGCCCAAGAGCTCTACCTTTCTTTCATTTTTTCTGCAGACACTAGGTTATACGAGAGTGGAGCATGCTTTTGCAAAAATAAGTATGCACTAGAGCAGTAGAGACACCAAAAGCTCAAAGTAGAAATGCAAATGTGACGAAAGTAAATATGCCAAAAGAAGCAGATTTATGTGCAAAAATACGTTGTTTGTTCACCAGAGGTGCTATAGCCAAGGACATTAAAATCATGCAATAAATACAATCATCTGATTTCTTACTCACTCATTTACAAACATTATTTCGTCTGTTGTATTGTGCTCTAATATCCTAGCTAATTCTTAGCTTCAGATGAAAAGGAGTAGAAGCGTACAGAAAAGAAAAGTATGCTTTACAGATGCTAGATCTAGCCTTGGCTAATAATAAAGTAGTTTTAGTACGATAGATAAGGAGTTACTGAAAAAACAATCAGAGTGCTCTATCTTATGTTGTTCATTGCTTATCTAGCCAGCTGTCTCAGAATAACAGTGTATTGGAAGAACAAATGGTTTGCACATACAGTAAAAATAATAATAAAGCATCAGACACTTGTAACCGCCAATTCGGAAGTTAATAAAAATAAAAAATAGTAAAATTTAAAATGAAAGAAGAAGGCTCGGAAAGAGTTGCTACAAACTCAGTGAAGGACGGAAAAAAGGAAGAGCTATTGGAAATTGAAAAGTTCATGCATCAGAGATGGGATGAGAGGCGAGACTACGAAATGAACGCGGATTCAGATAAAAAAAAGTATTTTGTTACATTCCCGTACGCCTACATGAACGGCAAGCTGCATCTTGGGCATATGTTCTCATTCAGCAAAGCAGACTTCATAGCTAGGTTCAAAAGAATTACCGGGTACAATTCTCTGTTCCCGTATGCATTCCACTGCACAGGAATGCCGATCAAGGCAGCATCTGACAAGCTGAGGGACGAAATAAACGGCGTTAAAAAAACCGGGCAGACAGAAATACTTCTGTCCATGGGAATCGAGAAAAGCGACATCCCAAAGTTTGCAGACGCTTCGCACTGGCTGCGATATTTCCCAGTTGAGGCCAGAAAGACCCTTGGGCTATTCGGAGCAGCAGTGGACTGGAGAAGGTGTTTCATAACAACAGATGAAAACTGGTTCTACGACTCGTTTGTTTGCTGGCAGTTTGAAAAACTAAAAAAGCAAAACAGGATATCATTCGGCAAAAGATACACAATATACTGTCCAAAGGACAGCCAGGCATGCATGGACCATGACAGACAGGAGGGAGAAGGCGTTCTACCACAGGAGTATTTGCTCGTTAAAATACCAGTGACAATCGATGAAAAAGAGTACAATCTGCTCGCAGTTGAAAAAGAAGGCATGGGAAATGGCCCGTACAAATGCGTGGTAAGCTCCAGCATAAAGTACAAAGTGATTGAGATGGATGGCGACCAAATAATACTCTTTGGGGGCTGTCTGCCAAACATGCAGGCTCAGAACTACAGCTTCAAAGAGGTAGAAGAGATAGAAGGAGCTAGCATCATAGGCAGAAAGCTGCTCTACAGAAATGAAGAAATGCAGATAGAAGGAACAGCAACAGTTGGCTTGCCTGCGTCAAAGATAATCATTTCTCAGACATCAAAAACAGAAGAAAAGACAAAGACAAAGCTGGAGGAGCTTTACCCAGTGGTAAGGTACTACGAGCCAGCATCAAAGGTAATCAGTAGATCTGGTGCGGAGTGCATAGTGGCCCTTGTTGACCAGTGGCACATAAACTACGGAGAAGAGAGCTGGAGATCAAAAGCACAGGAGTGCGTTGATGCAATGGATCTCACGAAGGAAACAAGGGAGGCCCTTAACTTCGGTCTGGGCTGGCTGTCTAAATGGGCTTGCAGCAGGAGTTACGGACTGGGAACAAAGCTCCCATGGGACCCGCAGTATGTCATTGACTCCCTGAGTGACTCCACAATATACATGGCGTTCTACACGGTCAAACATCTTTTATCTAAAGATATATTTGGCGAAGATCCACTGGTAGATAAGAAGCTGATCAACTACGACTTCTGGGAGTCCATATTCGGAGATAAGCCAGCCTCTGGAAAAGAGCCTGAAATATACAGCCATCCATCCGTTGTGAAAATGCGGGAAGAGTTCTCGTACTTCTACCCTGTGGACCTAAGAACATCAGCAAAAGATCTAACAAATAACCATCTTCTGTTCTTTGTGTACAACCATGTCTCGCTGTTCAAGAAAGAGTTTTGGCCGCTGAAAATATTCACCAATGGGCACATCATGCTCGACAACGAAAAGATGAGCAAAAGCACAGGCAACTTCCTTACGGGAGAAGAGGCCATTGAGAAGTTCAGCGCGGATGCAGTCAGACTGACCCTTGCATCAGGCGGGGATACAGACCAGGACAGCAACTTCTCCCAGCAGACGTGCAATGCAGCAGCCCTCAGAATCCACAAACTCCACAAGCACCTTCAGCCAATATTCTCAGAATTTAAGATGGGTGATTTCGAAGAGACCATTGATACTCTTGAAAAAGAGCTGAAAGAAGAGACGAACAATCAGTTTACAGAGGACTCTCTTGTGTTCAATAAGATTTTATCGATAAAAAATCAGACCATCGCTGCATTCAATGCTATTCTCTTCAGAGAGGGAGTGATGCACGGATTCTACACTCTCGAGCCGCTGATTGAGCAGCACTCCAGGGTTTCGAAGAACTCAAAGCTGATACAGTACGGATGGCTTGTCTTCCTCTCTTTGAACTACCCAATCATCCCGCACATGGCAGAGTACATCCTCAAAGACACGACTGAGTCTCCCTTCAAGGTGTCCAATATTTTGAAAATATCAGAGATATCGCAAAGCACGCTGGAAATGGGCGAGTGGATGGAGAAGATTGTGGGCCACACAAAGAAAACTCTGCAGAGACAGAAGAAAAAGAAGCAGGACATCAAAGAGGTGCAGCTGCTGCTCCTCAAAGATCTCCTTCCCTGGCACAAGCTGGCTCAGTCTCTTACAGCAGAAGAAATAAAGAAGAAAGACTGGAAATCACACGGAGTTGCAGTGCCTGAGGTCCTGCAGTACCACTCATCGCAGCCCAAAATACTCCCCAAAAGAGCGGAGTCTTTGAACCTCTTCATGGAGAAGATAGCAAAAGAGCTGGAGGTGCAGAAGGTCTGTGTGCTGGAGAGCGAGCAGGGGGGCTTGGATTTGCCCAAAGTAAGAATAATAACGAAATAAATATTATACTTTATTACAAGAAATTATTAAAATATGAATCAGAGACCAAAAAAAGAGCGCACAGGTCTTAAAGCGTTCAGCACTATGATACTTTCCATCCTGCAAAAAGAGAAATCAATAGAATATACGAAGGTAGCTGACATAATTATGGCGATGTCCGAGGGAACGGGAGACGATAAGAATGTCAAAAGACGTGTCTACGATGCTCTGAACGTAATGTGTGCTGTGGATCTCGTCAGAAAAGACAGGAAGATGGCATATCTTACGGATAATCAGCTGTGCTCGTGCGAGATGGAGGTGGAGAAGCGACTGATCAAGCTGGGGCAGTCCATAATATCGACGCCAAAGCTCCGAGAAAGAGTGGAGGAAAAAAGAAGAGTGCTGGAGGAAACAATAAAAAGAAAAGAGCTGCTGGTGAGGCTGATAGAAAGGAACAAACAAAGGGAGTATTTGGAAGAAAAAGAAAAGCTGCATCTTCCCTTCATTTTAATTAGCACAAAGAAAAAGTCGAGAATCGACTGCGAGACAAATGATAAAAGATCCTACTTCAAGTTCATCTTCACGAGCCCGTACAAAATATACGAAGACGTGCACATTCTCAAGCAAATATTTGGAGAAAAAGAAGCTAGAGCAGAAGTGAGGGAAAGCAGGCCATTTGGCGACTTTGTGGACACCCTGCAGACAGAGAACATGCCAGAGCCCACACACCACGCACCAAACCCCCAGTGGCTCCCAAAGGCTGAGATAGAGAGGATAACGCCCGGGAGCCCCCTAGGATCCAGCTACATTTTTACAGAAGATGACGATTGGCTCAATCTCTACAACTTTTTAAATTAATAAACCATGTATTCGGCTGCCTACCTCTCGTACCACACTCTCTATCTTTATTTATACTGCCTTTCTGCCCTGCACATTTATATTTATAAGACTACTGCAGAAATGCATTGCCCTCTTTCTTGATGTTTATTTAGGATGATTTACATATTGTTTATTCCTACCATACTGCTATTTAAGAGGATTGACTATACATAATCTCTTGCTATACGTTAAAACAACAGAAAAAATTCAATGAATGCTTAGACATTCACTTATGCTGGTATAACTCGAGAATATCCATTGTCTAACCTAAACCTATTCGAAGACTTTCTATGGTATTAAAGACTGCTGGTGAATAAGTACGATACTTTCTTATAGCTGCTGTTTTGAGTGGCTGGAGATAGAAGAAATAGCTTAAGACAGGAAGACAGTATAAATAAATAGTAAGTGTGCTAAGATCGTTTGAGAGTGGTCTAAAAGATGTTTAAAAATTTTGCAGTGCTGGCTGGAGTGAAGCTGTGCACTATTTCTAGTTATTTTAATTTAATTGCAAAATTCATCGAGCTCTTCAATGGCCATATACAAAGTAAGAAACCTTCTCGACATAACACAGCCTTTGCTGAACCACGACTACAAGAGCACGCTTCCTTCAATTTTTAAAGCAGTGGTTGAGATAAGCGACGAGCCAAAGAGAGAAGACGCCGACCCCGCACTCTTTCCCAAGCCGCGCGTAAGCATAGCCTACATAGAGACAGAAGGAAAAGAGATAGGCAAAGGAACGGTATTCCAGCACGCAGAGACAAGCTCAAAAGTTATAAGAATGTCGAACACCAAAGTTCTAAAACAAACCCAATACAAAATAGATAAGGACCTTATCACAAATTTGCTATCTAAAACACAGAAAAACCCAGCATAAAGCAATGCACACATAAAACACTAAAAGCAGATAAGATGGCTATCTAAAACACTAGTAATGAAACATAATAGTGTGTTGTGTCACATGTACACTATTTAAAGATAAGAACTGCACAGAAATTACAACACTAAGCAAGATAATGGCCACACAACTACTAAAGATAAAACACACGCTAATCCTAATAGTGTTTATGAATATGTTCATCTGTGCTAGCTGCAGCTACACTCTTATTGGAGACTGCATATGCCTCGATGGAGCATCTACTGGATACGGTCTAAGGCAGGCACAGGGAGGCATTGGCTCAGGCACAGCAGCAGGCACGCAGATGATGGCCATGCAAATGCTAGCACAGCCAGCATCTCAGCAGACAGTTGAGCTCTGTCCCTGCACGCCTGTTGCTATGACTGTTCCCACAGCTAGCGTAGCAGTGGCAGATGCAGGCTCAACGGGAGGGAGAGTGGAAGCCTCAGCAGCACAGGGAGCCCAGATGATTGTAGCCACACCCCAGCAGTACGTATCTGTCCCTCAGCAGCAAATCGTATCTGTCCCTCAGCAGGCACAGATAGTATCCTCAGCACAGTTAGTTAGGCCAGCTATTGCGGCAGTAAATAGTGGACAGGGTGGAAATATTCAGGCTGTTCCGGTGGCCAGCCTACCGGCAATACAGGCGGCACAGCTGAATAAAGTGAAAAAGAGCGGAATGATCTTGCAGGCAGCTGAAGTAGCGAGCTTAAATAGCGCGTGCCAGGCTGATAAGATAGCCAGAGCTGCACAGGCTGTGACTGAGCTGGGTGTGAGTGAGGCAATGCATGCTAAACAAATGGCAGCAATGGCGGCAATGGCGCAGGTAGCACATCAGGAGAATACAGAAAATGCAATGAATAACTACGAGATGATGCAGCGCTTAAACAGCATGATTGTGCCGCAGGTTGCAATGGCTGTTGCACCAGTGAAGACAGTTTCCATGGTCTCTAAGCCTGTGGTGGCTATAGGAAGCAGTGCCATGGGGGGAGGCATCGCAGTGGCAGCTTCTCCTGCAAGACAGCAGATGGTAATGAGTGCATCACCAGCACAGATGAGCGTAGTTTCAGCGGAGCAACCAGCAGCAAGCTTGGGGATACCTGGGCAGATGGTGTATGGCGTTGTAACAAGCGGAGGAGTGTCTGGTAGCCAGTGCGTATGCCCGCCAATATACGAGAATCAGTCGATGGCTGCAGTAGAAGCAGGAGAGTCAGCAAATATGAGTGCATTTAGCGCAAGGCTTGCAACTAGTTTAGCACAGAAGATCATATCTGACATTTCAGCTACTGACACAAATAAGACAAATGGAGGGGTGGACATGGATGCTCTGCTGTGTGTGAATAAAATCAAGGCTGCACGGGCTGCAAAGAACATACAGCAGCAGGTGGCAGGTGGAGGATTGAGTATGTGTCTCGATGTAGTTGGGAGGTCTAGCTATCTTGATAAGATGCTAATGTCTAACCTTATGTGCTACTGCTAAATAAAAAGATTAGAGTATTTTTCACTTAATAATGGCTCGATTGCTCCTTATATTTATTCATCTGCACGTGAAGTGATTAGTTGATGGGTAGAGTTCTGATAAAATTTTTAAATGTACTGCAGAAGTTCGAATAAAAAAATTTAATATAAATGCTTATGTATTCATACGCTTCTTTATGCGAGGTGTTTCAAGATAGCAATGCGCATTTTAAAACCGGTGAGAATGGGTTGGTCAAGACGTATGACTACTCACAGATGGTTAAACTTGTGGTGTTAGAGCGTCTTGACAGCAGTGCACTCTGTGTGATGGATGCACCAGAGAAAGAGAATTCAGAAGATTCTACAGCTCTAGGAAGAGTAGTTTGCAGTATATGCGAGAATGGAAAAGTAACAATAGCTAAGTATAATGAAACCTTTTTCATCATAACTGATTTTATGAATACAGTACCTGTGAGGCTTTCTTGTGGAGAGGGTAAGAACTATCCCAATATAGAAATAGGGAGAGAAGATGTGTGCAACTCTTCAAAAAAGAAGGTAAACAAAGCAGAGACAGAAGTGAGTGAACAGAGAGAGAAATATACACTTGGACAGAGCGAAGCAATACAACTAGAAAGAGAAAATGCACACATTATCACTAAAGAGTGCCACCACAGACACATTTGCGCTGGAGAAAAGAGCTCACTGTGTACATATAGAGATAGCGTGTATCAGTTGGAGCACCTTCTATACCATTCTCTTATTTCACTAGTAAAAGAAAAAAACATCTTTATTTCATTCAGCGGAGGAATTGACTCTTTTCTGTGTGCTACTCTGTGCTGTAAATACTTTAGGGACAGAAGTGTATACCTGATAAATACCTCTTTTTCAAAGGATGGGGCGTTTGTGTCAAGAGATAGAAAAGCAGCACACGCCTTTTATGGTAAAATAGTCTCTGCTTATGGAGAAAACTGTTTTTTAGTAGAGAACAACATATCCCGCGCAGAAGTACTAGAGAAACAAGATGAAATTGCAGGCATAACCAGGAACACAACAATGGACTTTAATCTGGCAGCTCTGCACTATTTTACAGCAAAGAAGGCGAAGAGTTTGGGCGCCTCAAGCATTGTAACAGGAACAGGAGGCGATGAGCTGTTCCTTGGATACTCAAGACACAGAGAAGCTGTTGCGGGAGGAAAAGATGTGCACAGCAGCAGTGTTTTAGACAAGAAACTGCAGGAGATGGTTTGCACGGACGTAAAGACATTTTGGAAGACAAACCTGCACAGAGACTACAGCGCAGGCAGCATGTGCTCTATTTCTCTTGTTTCACCGTTTTTGGATCCGCTTGTATTCGAGTATGCCATAGAGTCTGCAGACCATAGAAAGGTGGAGAAAAAGGAGCTAACTGACATTCTCCATCGAGAGTATCCAGGCATCCAGCTGAAAAAGAAGCTGGCAGGGCAGTACGGCTCGGGGATTGCTGATGTAATCAGAAGCATCAGGTGCCGAGCACACACACTCTGCAGAAACAACGAGTGTCTTTCTCTTGAGTGCTCAAAAACAAATTAGCGCATAGCCTGCCATAAGAAATAAACAATAGAATTATTTACAATCTACCCCTGAAATAAATCAAAAGAGGGTTTTGCGGGTTTAAGCTCTGCCGAAGCAGCAGAGAAGCTGAAAAGGAAGAAACCAATCTGGTTTGCATCAGGTTGAAACGGGTTACACTTTAAAAACAATAGAGAATAGTGTTTCACATGAAAAATAATTGGTGTATTTCATTACGATCTCTAAAACAAAAGTATTTAATACCAAATCTGCGTACACCCAATGACAAAATACCAGGCGTCAAAGAGAGTAATCAAGGGAGCTATTTCTGTGGGATTATTTTTGAAATCATGCATAGCCTTTGCAGGAGCAGGGCCTGCAATAGGCCCAGCCTTCAACCCACTGTGTCCAGCACACTTCATGAAGGGGAGTAACGTTATAGGAGGAATGGCAATCAATGGAATGGGAGGAATTGGCGATGCGTATCCAATGGGGTCCCCAACTCTGTGCATAAGAGAGGGCCAGCTGGCGCCACAGGGAGACATGCAAGGAAAAATGAGCCCAGCATTTAAGAGATTCTCGCACCAGCAGGCAATGCAGGCTCTTTTCAACCTCCAGGACTCTGAGTGCAAGCCAGGGAAGGTGAGCCCCAAGACCCAGGCATGTTTCCTCTTCAAAACCATACAGCAAAAGGCTCAGGCACCCATCACAGCTATTACAACCACCGGAAACGCGCTATTTCTTAAAAACAAAGACAAGGTAACTGCTATGATTGTTGTAGAGCGCTTTGGAAACATCACACCAAAGAAGAAGAAGGGGCCAACAATTGAGCAGCTTGTCGGAGCACCCAACTCCACTGCCGTTTTCAGTGAGTTTGACAATCTGCTTAAGAGACACGGTTCGCCCAATCCAAAATCTGTCAGCAACAAGTGTTCAGAGTGCCTTAAGATGCTTAAAGCAAGCTTTGCAGGAGACCTGGAGTGTAATGTGTGCAATGACACAATTTCTTTTGATTTTAACAACATTTCATAAATGAAAAGATCCATTATTTGATTAATCGTTATTAGTAGTTTATTAAGGCAGCACTACTACAGAATGCAGGCGTTAATAAAGCAATTTTTCTATAAAGCAATAAACTAGCTAATTTACTTTGTGCTGATTGTACTGTAGCAGACTCTTTTCTTGCAAGCTTTCTAGGAATTGGCCCATTCTTATTGGTTTGTTTCTGCTGGGGATGTAACAAGTTGTTAGAAGCCCGTTCCACTCGATCGAGATCTTAGATAAATATTTATCCTGTATAATACTAAGTGTTTATTGCTTGGGCTCTTAAAACTTTACAGCATGTTTAGAGCTCTGAAAATAAATTAAACTGTAAAAAAATGGGAGAGTTTGGGTTGTGAATTTATTTTCATTTTTATTCTCGGGTTATATTCTATATTCTATTCATTTGCATTAGCAGAACTATCACTGAATAGAAAAGAGATGAGAAGAAAACTAGCTAGTGCAGAGCATATAGCTACTTATTAATGTGTGTAGAGAGCATGGTAATATTTAGTTAGTCAGCTAGTATGCCCTATTGCTATTTGACAGAAAAGAACAAACAAACAAATAAATGGCTAATAAACAAGAGTAGAACACTCCATAGCTTATGCCAGAGGTAAATTAAGCGCAATTATCTTGAATTGAGCACTGAATAGAAGTAATTATGCATTAAGTCACTGGGAGTAACTATAAGACAGCTATGAGTAGATAGAACACAAGGGGAAATCTTTTGCAGTACTCAAAATACGTGGAAGAATCTTCTAATTTTAAATTGTTCATTGCTTCAATGCACACAAACAATGAGCTGTGTGTGTTTCAAAAGTAAAAATTGTTAGCTTTTCTGTAAATTCTGTCGTTCTTTATTCACTTATTTGCCTGTCTGCAGCATTTCCATCCGCTGTTTTTTCTCTGGCTTCTTCTTTTTTGTGTCCAGCCTGTGTGAAAGAGTATTCCACCCGCAGCACAGAGCTGTTGAAAACCTGGCCAGCGAGTAGCTCCCTGGCGCGTGTTGCGTCTTCGACTGTTTTGAAATAGACAAATGCATATCCTTTGCTGTACCCAGTGTATTTATCCAAAATTAAGTCTGTTTTTGTGAACTCAAGGTCACTTCCCAGCTTCTCGCTGAGCCATTGTGTTAGCTCTTCTTCTTTTGTCTTTGTTCCCAGACCGAATATGCTCAATATATTTACAGGAGTCTGCTGCTCAGGCGGCACTTGTCTTCTCTTGTAGTATGGCCTGGGCCTGTGCTCATTGTAATACGGCGCATGCGCGTATGCACTGTCAGGGCGTCTTCTTGGATACATGTCGTAGCTGTGCCGAGGGTCTCTTCTGTACGGAGGATATCTTGAGTCTCCGTAGACACTGGGAGGATAGGAGCGGTAGCCTCGCATGGGATAGCCTCCTGGGGCATCCTGTCTTTCATCCTGCGCTCTGTGGGGCGGATAGTCCTCGTGCATGGGCCCTCTGCCTACAGGTCTGTACGGCCTTCTTCTCATTCTGCTGTACGGCTGTCTGTACTCTCTTTCGCCAGGGTGTCTTTCTCTTTCGTGTCTTTCTCCCTCCGTGGTTTGTTGTGAATTGCGTGTTTCTTCTGGATTCATAGCAATTTTAAAAAAGCAAAAATAAATTTGTTAAATCATTATCTTGCTTTTTATCTCATTGATTATTCTGCACGAACTTTTACTGGCTGTTTTCAACAGATGTTTCAGATAGCTGTTTGCCAGATCTCTGCACAACTGGTCTGAGAATATCTCCAAAGACCCGCTGATGATCTTTTTAGACAGCCTTCCGTCAGACGAGATGAGGGTGTTTATAATCCCCTCCAGCATTGCGCCTATCCTTTCCTGTGTTCTTGTTTGGCCGCTTGTCTTTGCAGAATCCTCTCTCTTTACCATCTCATCCTCTCTGTTGTTCTTCCTCAGTAGACACTTTAGTGTTGATATTCCTGCTGCGAGGATGGAGTCTTCTACAGGGAGATTGTCCAGTGCTGCGTTGTATTTATCTAGAAGATGTCTCAGTATTTTTGGTGGTTTTTTTATCGATGGCAAGATTGATGAAAATATCAGAAGAGACAGCCTCCTGGACTTGTCCACAGCGAGCTTAAGAATGTATCCTACCAGCGCGCTCTTTTCTTCTTTTGTCAGATGGAGTCTTTTTTTTGTCAGTTTTGACGCTATTACTCCGATGGGAGTGTCTCTTACCAGAGCACCAGACAGCTTTGACATGGCCAGAGGAGTGTCTATGTACGGCAGCATAAGAAGGTACAGCGCATCTGTTCGAGAGTATGAGCCGATATCCCCTAGCGTTGGGTCTACGGCATAGCAGCTAAGCGATTTGAACAAAACATTTTTAGCTGAAGCATGGGAGACAGCTCGATTGGCAGCCAATAGATAGATACATGCAGCGTATACGGGACTGTGTGCATACAGAGAGACAGAAGGACACTCTAGTCCTGTGTTTTCAATGTTTTGCAGGATGGGGTCTTTAAGGACAGCCAGTGCAAGCAGAGTTGTGGGGGTTTTCATCGCTCTTCGTATGTTTATATCTGCTACTTTCTGTCTGTGGATGTAAAGGATTTTTACAATCTGCCGAGTGAAGAGATTCTTGTTGAGTGTGTACAATATGGCCAGCTTTGAGTTTGGAGAAGAAGGACCAACCAGCTTGATAGACTTAAGCATCTGTCTGAGAAGCTCCATGTCTATTTTCACAAGAGTAGACAGCTTGCTTGGATTTGTGGCAGATATCAGCTCTTCTAGTTTCGTGATATTTCTGCGTTTCAAGAAAAACCGAAAGGCAGCTATTTTGCTGAAGATATCTGTGCTGTCGTATTGGCATTCTTTTTCTCCTGCGTATATCTTCAGCTGGACAGCTCTTTTAATGAGCAGCGGTGTTCCCTCTGCTATCAGGACATCTGAGTATCGAACTAACAGCTTTCTGCTTACTCTTGCAAACTTCAAAAGCATTTTTATGTCTGGCTTGTGGTGCTTTATGCTGTCTATTACATGTAGAGACCTGTCGCTTGGATTGTGTCCTAGGTACTCCATGAGCAAGCCTATTGAGGACTTTCTGATGTCAACAGACCGCGAGAACAGAGACATCAGCACAAGAAACGGAAGATGCCGCGAGAATCCGCTCCAGTTCATTCCCCAGAAGATCACCAGAACTCCATTGAGCACTTTTTCATTGGATAGTTTGCCAATGTAGTTGCTTACTATTTTCAAGGCTTTTTTCGAGGCTTTTTTGTCTTTTGTTTTGTAGATGTGAATGCCCACCAGTGCCAGCATGCCAGGGGACCACACAGGATTTGGCATTATGTTCGCACTGTCCTGTTTAAGAGCTGCGAGCGTGTTGTCTATCAGATTGCTTCCCGTGCCTATCTTCAGTGCTGCATTTATTGCTTTGATTTTAACTGTGCTGTTTGCCTCTCCTATCATGTCCACTATCTTGTTGTAGAATACGCCGTCTTTATCTTGTCCTGTCTGCACTATGGCCTTTGCTATGCTGATAAGGGAAAGCATCACTATGTATGACTTTGTTTCTATTTCGCTCACTTCCCTCATCAGCTGTTCGCTTATCTTTACTCCTTTTTTAATGCAGTATGCTATGCTCTTCAGCCCGAGGGGAAGACTCACTTCCATTCCCACTATGTGTGCTGTATCTCCAGTGATGTACATGTGTGTGCTGCATGCTTTTTCGTTTTCATTCTGGTCGACAGGAAGGCCTTCTATCGCAATGGTATTTCTAGATACTCTGCTGCACATAAGGCCAAGAGCCTTGTGAAGAGCACCGGTGGGATAGAACCTGCCCTGGCTTTGTGCTATTTTATGCACCTTTTCGTACGTGGTGTGCGCCATCGTAACAGAAAACGGATCGCTCAGCACTTTTTCTATTCGTTCTAAATATTCTTCATTGCTGCTCATACAAAATAAAAAGATTTACGTTAAGTTCTATACTGTTATATTACTGAAAATTTATTCTACTGTCGCAGCCACCAGAACGAGCTGATTGCACAGCTGCTCTATTTAGTTATAAATATGTCAGAGTTTAGGACCTTTACAGTGCGCATCATCTCTTGTATCTCTTTCTCCTTCTCTTCGGACACAACTCCTTCTTTAAATATGCTGATTACAATGTCCGACAGTGTGTACTTTGTTACGCCTATGTATATATGCATGAGACGCACTTTCCCGTCATTTCGGGAGATGTATCCATCTATTCTAGCACACATCCAGTCGAGCGCGTTGGGCTCTTTCTCCACCTTCACAGGCTTGGCACTGCTGCTGTACTTATGCAGAAAAGTGTCTATCCCCTGTTTGAATCCATCGGATGTGTACTCGATTGATATGACCTTTGCGCTGTCTACGTCGTTCATGCCAAGAATGTCTTCAATGTGCAGATCCACTTCGGGCACCGGCTGCATTAGGTCCACGATTAAAAACTCGTCCTGATCAGAGCCTCCTGCAAACATGTACTGGTAGTTCTGCGCTGCTATCAGCTGGGAGATGTCTTTATGCTCTTTTGGTATTCTAATGTCTATGCTGTTGTCATATAGTAACATAAAATATTTTTTATGGAAGAGTGTAAAGAGCTGTTTCAAAGCAGAAACCAGAAGAGCATAAAGAAAGCGGTGGAAGCCCTCAGAGAAAAGCTGGGGGTAAAACAAGAGCGCATAAAGGAGGTGGCGTCGGAGATAACGGAGGAAGAGGGCAGGAAGATGGTTGAGATAATAGAAAAGAAAGTTATTTGTTATAACAAGTGCAGAAAAATGTTCTCAAAAAGTAACCAATCAGCGCACAGCAAGACACCAAGCAATTCATTCAGCCGTTAATAATCAATTAAATTGTCATTTAAACAATGAATGAAAACGATCTCTCCGTTAATTAAAATTATATAAGACACAGAAGACTTAGACATTACAATGAAAAAGCAAGTATTATTTACAGTAGTAGTCGGAGTAGTTACATTTGTAGTCGGAAACATTACCGGATACTTTGTAGTTCCCATGATCTTCAAGAAGAAAGACGGCGAGACAGTGATCGTCACCAAGCCTGTAACTCCCACATCCCCAGCAAAGTGATGAAAGATAAACAGATTTTGTCAATAAAACCAAAGTTTTGATATTTTTACAATTAGCATACAGGCATATGCCGTTATTATCGAGTGCACATAAGTAGAAGAAAGTGCAGATGGCTTTGTTCTACAGCTGTATCACTCAAGCATTTCCACCATAGAATTAATGAAAATTCAAAACATCTGGCGTCTACCGGTAGAGAGTTTGTGCGTGGAGAGAATTTCCTCAATAAATGGAGCACAAAAATTTTATTATTTTGTATGGAGCAGAAGACAAAGTCATTTCTTTCCAAAATAACCCGGCTGGAGATTGCTGTTTTAGCAGGCATTTTGCTTATCGTGCCTGTGGTGAAGTCTTTGTACACTCTTTTAAACAGATTTCCGCATTTGCCTGCAACAGTAGGTGTTTTTTGTCCTGTTGTGCTGAATGGAATTGGAAGCTCTTTCGGTATTTCCAACATTGGCAAGTCCACTGCAGGCGGGTCGGTGCGGTCTCCTACACTCGTGATGAAAAGTCTGCTGGGAATTGTTCTGTGCGAGGCCAATCTTATCTTCAGTATTCTCTGCTTTTTCTTTTTAAAGGAGAGATCGATAGAGATATCGAAAGAAGCCGTTATGACGCTGAAAAGCGTGCAGTCTTCGTGGGCCATACTTGCCAGCGGGCTTGTCTGCGGGATATGCGGCATGGTCTCTTCTTTTGGAAGCGCAGTGGTTAACTCATCCAGCTCTATATCCATCGCAGGGAACTCAAAGATGTTCTCCAAGCTTGTTAGTTTGCAGCTGATCGTAGGAGGAGTGGGCATATTTGGGACTGTCATTTCGCTGTTCTTTTTGAGGCTTCCTTCTTCTTCCTAGCCAGGGAAGGTGTTTAGAATATAATTATACGCACACAGTCGAAAGAAAAGTGAAGGAGATTAAGGAAAAAATGCGGGCCTTGGTGTAAGCCTCATTTTGTTAAAGCAGACCTATGCTTCGGCAGCATTACTATCTAAATGGTTAAATGGCGTGAGCCAGCGATTAAGCTTGCATTACTGCCTACACCCGAGGACTTTCCTCAGAGAGCGTCTCCGAAGCTGCCCACCAAGACCGCTGCATGGGCAATAAAAAAATGGAAGAGAAATAGCTCTCCGCATCGAATTTTACTTTCTTAGATATGGTGCAAAGAGACACTAAATAGATAGACAGACCGCAGTGTCTTTAGATAATAAAGTTTTTGTTATTTTTGTGTGGAAGAGAGACTTGTAGCGACCACTTTGGTTTTTGATATTTGGTTTTGAATTTCAACTTTATTTCCAATTTCAGCCAGCTACTCTCCTATTTATTTCTGCATTTATATTTATGGATGGTAGATAAAACCCATCAATCAATAAGTGATTGCTCTATTTAGGTATAGATAAAAACAGAAAGAGTGTAGGTGTGCTGTAACACTTCTTTTCCATGGGTAGATAAGATAGAGAAGATAAGGACAGAATGATAAAAGATTATTTTATTTCACTGTTGTTCTGCTGTGATCAGATAAAAATCCTTTGATAATTTCAGAGGCTGTTTTGTCAAGTGTCAGTTTCCTTATCTCAAGCAGCAGCTCTTTTTCTCGCTCCTGCATCTTAAGGGCTGTCTCTTCCATGCTCTGGAGTTCTGCTAAATATTTATTCTCTTTGCTCTTCGACAGAGAGAGCGCGGCCTCGGTTCTTGTCTGGGCCTCTGCTAGAACTTTTACCTCTCTTTTGTATCTTACAGACTCTGCTGTTTCTTTCTGCATCTTTGCGCTCATCTCCTGCATCTTGCTAGCTGACTCAGTGTACGCGCTTTCTTTTTCTTCTGCTAGTTTCTGTGCTTCCTGTCGCGCAGTGCCGAGTTTCTTCTGCAAATGCTCCATTTCCTTCTGCAAAAGAGACAAGCTGGCACTCGATCTTTCTTTTTCTTTCAGGTCTTTCTGCAGCTGTCTTTTTTCTGCTTCAAGCGCTTTCTTCTCCTTTTGCCACACGCTCTCTGCGTTCTCATACTTATCTCTCTGCTCGCATATCTCAGCTTCAACGTCTTTCAGTATTCTTTCTTTCTCATGCGACAGTGCGTTGACCTGCGATGCCGCCCAGGCCAGAGAAGACTCGCTTTCTTTTGCGTTGGAGAGAGCCCTTGCTAGCTTTTGCGCGATCTTTGCTTTTTCTGACTCGCACTTCACAAGGTCCTCTGATATTCTCTTTATCTCTGCTTTGTATAGGGAAATAACCTCCATGGACGAGGATACTTTGTTGGATAGCTGCTGTACATGTGTGTTTATCTCCTCAACATTAGAAATAGAAGTGTGCAGCTCGCTGATTATTGAGTCCTGCGCCTTCACCCGTTTGCTGTTTTCCAGCTCCCAGTCTTTTTTCTCAGACTGCATCTTTTCAAGAATTTCCACTGTTTCCTCTTTTGCCATTGCAATCTCCTGTTTCATTTTGATTTCCTCGGCCTTTCTTGCAGAGATTTCTTTTTCCAGCAGCTTTCTCTTCTCTTTCTCCTCCTTCTTCTGTGCCTGTGCAGCTGATAGCAGACTCTGTGCACTCACTGCGCTTTCCTCTGTCTGCTGCAGCTTGAGCTGGTTGTGTGCCAGTGCCTGCTGGAGCTTTTTCATTTCAACATCCAGCTTTTGTCTGTCTGATATCATAGTGCCCAGCTTCTCATCCACCAGATCGATGTATTCTCGCTTCAGCTCTTCGTACTCTTTCTGTCTGCTTTCAGACCTCTCCTTTTCATGCTCCAGCTCCTTCTCCAGACGCATCAGCTCTTCCTTATTGTCCTGCACCGGAGGGGCGATGGGTGCTGGGGCAGGTGCTGATGCTCTCTTGAATGCTTCATTGAGTTTCTGCAGTTTTTCCTTTTCAAAGCTCAGCAGAGAAGAGAGCCTTTCAATCTCGCTCTCGCTCTTTCTCAGAGAAACCTCTCCCTTGTGTCTCTTAGACTCTGCCACTTTCACCTCGTTCTGGAGCTCTTCAATTTCATTTGCTAATTTTTTGTTTTTCTCGCAGAGTGTGTCTCTTTCCTGGGCAAATATTCCTTTTTCGTGCTCTGATGAATCAAGCTTATTGTTCGCATGCTGCAGCTGTTCTCGCAGCTCCTTAGCCTCTTTTATCGACTCAGTGTGCGCGGTCTTTAGGCTCGCAAGCTCTGCCAAAAGCTTCTTTGTTATCTCTGAAGCTGCGTCTTTTCTCGCCTGTTCAACTTTCACCTCTAAATCCTCAACTATCTGCTTCATCTCGTTGGCTCTTGTGAAGTGTTTATTGGACGCTTTCTGTGCTGATGCCAGCTCACTCTTCAGCTCATCCAAGGACTTTTCAGCCTCTGCTTTTTCAATCTTAGCGAGTCTTTTTGTCTCTTCGCTCTGAGCGAGCGCAAGCTGTGTCTCCTGCAGGGTCTGTCCATACTTTGTCTCCATCGAGAATATCTTGTCCTTCAGCTCCTGTATCTCTGCGCACTGTCTGGCTATCTTTATGTCTCTTTCTTTGATCTCATCTTCAGCCTTTCTTACCTCAAGAAGAGGGCGAACTTTCATGCACAGCTTCCACCAGGACCAGTTTCTAACGGCTGCGTATATCTTTACGTTCTTCTGGATCAGCGACACGGCATCCTCCCGGGCCTTCTTGAGCTTTTCTGAGTTGATGCTCAAGAGTGTGCGAAGGCGTCTTTGCAGATCAGCAATAAGCCCAGAGATCTTTGCGTTTCGATGGTCCTCCAAGTCCGCTAGCACTCCCTGTCTGAGGAAGAGCCGAGTCTTGCCCAATCGGAACAGACTGGAGGGCACCCCTAGCTCAGTGAGCAAAGCAACTACTCCTTTTTCAGCTGGGGGAATGTGCTCCTTTCCTGACCGCGATAAAAGTGCGTATCTTTGCGTAAAGTCTCTGAACTCAACGCGCGTGGGGAATCCTTGCCTCGATATCCTCACGCCTTCAAGGACTCCATTGCATCTCAGCTGGTGCAGAACCCGAGAGACCTCAAAGCTATTGGCTTTTTTGCTTCTGTTGGGAAGGATGCACCGCACAAAGTGGGGATTGGTGGTGTAGAGCATCTTCAGAAGGGCAGCAAGCTGCTCCTTGTGGCTCTGCGACACTGTCCTAAACCGAGTGGCTGCTAGCCCTGATCGAGTAGAAGACGTAGGGAGGGGGCCCTTTGGGCCTAGCATCAGCGAAGAGATAGCTTCATCCAAGGGATCCTTGTTCTTTGCGATCCACCCGTCTTCATTGTAGCACACCTTCCCTGCGTAGTGCTTCACAGTGAATCCTCCGCGGACCTTTGGAATGGAAAACTTGCCATGGCTCTTCCAAGTTCTGGATATTTTGTCGAGGAGTCTGTCCCCTGTGCCCCCTGGAACTACGCACTCTTCGTCGAGTATCGAGAAGATTCCCGTGCCTGAGGTTTCTAGCAGATCTATGGTAGGCTGCAGATCTAGTCCAAAGTCTATCATATTCCACTCCAGGCCTTCTTTTAGGTAGATGTCCTGCTCCAGAACAAACATTCGGTGGTTGAAGAACTGCTGCAGTTTCTCGTTGGTGTAGTTTATGCAAAGCTGCTCGAATCCGTTCTTCTCCAGTATTTCGAATCCTGCGATGTCAAGGACTCCTATGTAAGACTGCGACTGAGCCTTTGGCTTTAGCGATGCATTCACAAGAGAGACAATCCAGTCAAAGAGTCTCTCATACAGCACTTTGCAGAGAGATGCTACTGTGAAGTTGGCTTCCTGAGGAGACCGGCCATGCACCACTATTTCGTGTCCCGCCTGGATCTTTGGTGATAGGAGGGTTTCTTTCAGCATGCCAGCATCTACTCCGAGTAAATTAGAGGCGTGTTCTAGCGCTGTTGCCCCTTCTGCTTCTAAGCTCACACACTTTCCATCCTGAATAAAATCAACTTCTCCCAAGTGTATTATTGCAGCAAGTATTTTGAATATCTTGTCTTTCTCCTCTTCTGTGATGCCGAGGATGCGCATTGATGTGTATATGCTTTCCATCTCTATGTCATTTCCTTCTGTGCTGTTTATTATTCTGTATGGCTTGTCTCTGCTAAGATGCAGGGAGGATAGAAGGGCGTCATCTGCCTGCTTTGTTAGCGCATAGAACACATGGTAGTTTCTCTCTCCTTTTGCCTGCTTCGTGACTCTCGAAGACTCTAGCAGGTATCTTTCCACTGATGCCCCAACTATCTCCCCGCTTGCTCCAAACTCTATCTTTATGAACTTTCCAAACCTTGAACTGTTATCGTTTCTTCCTGTCTGGGCATTTCCGAATGCCTCGAGGAGGGGATTTGTTGAGCGAAGTCTCTCCTCAAGGACACTTGTGCCGTGCGACAGATCACCGCTGACTTTCGTCAAGAACGCAATGGCGTGCTTTGTGTTTTCTGTCTTCCCTGCACCAGACTCTCCCGTGATGAGAATTGTCTGCGGCTGCTTTGTGTTTCTCATTAGGTGGTATGCCTCGCTTGCAACTGCGTATATGTGCGGAGGCGCATCTTCTCTCTTGTAGACAGAGGAGTACTTCTCGATGAAATCCTTTGTGTATATTGGCAGGCTCTTGTACGGGTTTATAGCCACCAAGAACAGGCCAGAGTACGTGTACTGCATATCTGAGAGATATCTCTGGTGGAGGTTGTGAAGTATGCTCGGTTCATTGAGATAGGACAGGTGCGCCATGTTATCAACGAGGTCGAACTTAGAAGGGTTTGCCTTGTTCAAGTCCTCCAGCCTCACGGAAAACCTTTTTTCTCCTATGGTTATCTCGGCGTGTGTGCTGTCTTCTGCTACGATCTGGCCTAGCTGGTACTCATTGTCTGAGTTAATCCACCAAACAAGCTTTTTTGTGGCATTCTGCGGCTCCAATTTGTCTCCAATGTCTTCGGACTTTCTGTGGCTCTGAGTTTTTGTTTCTCCCTTATTCATAAAGATTATGCAAATTTCTTTTTTTAATATAAGCACTGCCTCAAGTGATGAGATAATTTATTTAGTCCTGCTCTGCTAATTGAAATTTCAATACAAATCCAAAAATAAAAATGATTCATCCGCCTGGCTCCTTCAATAGAAGCGTACAGCTGGGTGTAGAGCAGTACTAAAGAGTGCAGACAGATGGAATATGTACTAGTAGAGCAGAATAACTCTTATACTCGGTAATAAGACGTATACAATCGATTGGTCAGAGTAAATCAGAAAATAGCTGGGAAGTTAAACAGTAGGGAACAATAGACGGTAGTAGAGTATATTTAGGTTATTTATATAATATTATAGTACATGCCGCTGTACAGCCGCATGGTAAGAGAGTGCTTCTCTGTTGAGGGTTTGTGATTATTTGGCTTTACATCAGGTGTTATACGAGTGAAGAGACTGGAGGCTCTACCCATCTGTTCTGTATGAAGTAGTTTAATATTTGGGAGAGCTTCTGTTCTGTGAGGCCCTGGAATACTTTTAGAATGTTTCTTTTTTCTGTTTCTGCAACTGATCTGTAGAGTATTGCCGTTTCTCTCAGAGAGTAGTAGATGGCGTACGGAACTGAGACCGTATTGCAGAAGCTTTTTTCGCTCTCTGAGAGATACTGCACTGCCACTTCGTCAACTATCGGAGCTTCCTTCTTTGGCAGCGGAACTTCTCCTTTCTTTGCAGTGTCCTGCGTGCTGTACATCCCCGATATTTTCTTTTTTATCAGCAGCTCCAAATAGAGCCCTTGGAATAGGTCCAAATACTCCTTTACCGAGAGAATCTTTAGAAGAGGCTTCATCTTCGCTAGAAGGTCTTTCCCTGCTGCACAAAGCGACTTTTCTCCAAGCGTGTGCTGTTTTGCTGCCAAAAGACCTTTTTTGAAAATTAAGTGTCTGAACAGCTTTCTCTGCAATAAAACATTTCTGTATGCTTCCAAAAGTATTTCTTTTGTTTCTTTTTCAAGAGGAGTGTCTGCTTTTGAGAACGATATCTCTTTGATGGATATCTCTGCATCGTTTGAGTACTCGACTTCAAAATCCTGTCGCAGCGGCATGTATCCAGAGATCTCCTGCGAGAGAGGAAGACTTTGCACGTTTTGCACAGGCTCGCCCTCCAGATCTTGGATGTCCTGCTGCTTGAATATGCGGGAGAAATGCTGCTTCACTTCCTCGGGTGTTTTTCTTCCTATGTATGCAGCCACGTCCTCCCAGTTTCCTATCCCGTGCATAATAAGGCCATCTACAAATAGGAGCTCCTCTATCATTTGCCAGCCCTCAGAGTCTGCCTCAAATGAAAGACTCTCTACTATGCGATATTTGTGTGTGTATTCGTGTGTGCGTATTTGCGTTCTCTGTATTGTGCAGAGAGGGCATATGTCTATGCGGCACTGCACGCACTGGATCCACATGATTGAGGAAATATTCATAAGACACCCATCACATCGAATGATACACGAATTACCGTGGCTTTGTGAATGTGTAATAACCATTGCAAATTTAAAATAAAAGCTAATTCTTTCTTATAGAAGGAGGAAGGGAGCGAATGGTGTAAAAATTGCAAAATAAAAAGTATGGGAAAAGTTGTAAAAAGTAAGCTTAGTCTTCTGTTGAGACATCCAGCAAAACAAGGGCTACTGCAGAATATGAAAGAGACCATGCAGTGTGTGTATATGTGCAATTTCTGCCAAGTAGTAGATTATAGTATGGTCAGTGAGCAATTAATGATAGTTTAGACAAAAGAGAAGAGCGGTATTTCTGCAAGAATCCTTAAAAGGTTTATTGGTAGGTGTTAGGAGTGTGTAATTTGGATATCTACTGCGCCTATATACGCTTGCAACATAACCGCTTCTTTTTTCTAAAACATGGCTGAAGAACAGATGTAATACAGTTCAGCTATGTGTGAACTAAATTCTTCAGTGTAAAATAATACTGCTGAACGATTGCTGTATTCACGGATTATATTCATAGCCCCAGAGACTGTGAAATAGCAATCAGTCTTTCTTTTGATCTTTCGTTTAGGTGCACATCCGTTGGCGATATATCTTTTATAATGGATGGATCTTCATTGCATCTCCTAAGCTCGTTGGATAAGTCTGCAACTGTGTTATTTATAACCGTAAATAGAAAGAGTATTTTGTTGACTGTCTCTGGCTTGCTCTTGTACAAATCAATGCACTTGCTGAACACTTTGCATCTTAACAGCTCCTTTGCCACAGGCTCTACGTTCTGTGCAATGTGCCCCAGCATCGCGCACATATCACTCTCCACAGACGGGGTGTCTATCAGCTCTACACACTTTTCGAGCTTGGGGAAAATTGACGTGGCAGTTGAAATGTCCTGGCGGACCAAAATGGTCTCAAGGCCCTGTATGTACTCTTTTTTGATCTCTACCGTGTTTTCTGGTTTTTTTATATTCTCAATGTGCATGTCAACTGCGTACGCGTAAGGATCTGAGAATATTTCTGCTGTTTCTTTATCATAGTTTGCTTGTTCCTTTTCCATGCTCATTTTTCTCTTTTCTTAAAAACATAAATATACTACTTTTATATTTGCATGTTTTTACTCTTGCTAGTACACATAAATATTAAACACACTGCATATTTATTCACTTTCAGTCCCAAAATAAAATAAACAACCAAAAGCTCCTCCACACTACTCTAACGCTAAACTCAATCACCATTGCGCTGTTTTCACTTAGCTATTTTCTCATCTATCACAGTAGTCCTATCTATATCACAATACTTTTTGTTTGCATCCATAGAAATATAATTTGAGAGCTCCTGTGCTGTATAGAATAGCGGATAGAATAAGAGCCGAGTGAGAAACGAGTAGTGAATAGAAGATGGAAAAGCATGCAGGCATGCACATACATCCTGCAGTGTGTTGGATTGCTCTAGTATGAGACTATACAGCTATTTTAGATCTTTTATTTTATATTAGAGCCAGTCCCACTAGCAGCAGGCCTATTAGAAGTGCTAGAACAGTCAAGGCAGCAAGCCCTAGATCCTTTGTGCACCTTCCCTGTAGACACGTGCCATTCCATCCGCACGGCGTTCCATTGCGAAAAAACCTGTCTGAGATTGTAACGTGCTTTCCCTGCACATTTAGACACTTCATTGTGCACCCCTTATACCCCGGAACAGCTGCAACAAGCGACCGCATATCGCCTGCCATCACGCACTGTGTATCTTTGTTTGTGCACATGCCGTTTGCGCAAAATCCGTTTGAGCATTTTTGCGAATTTGCGAAGAAAGAGGCAGCAGGACAGCGCACGGACATTCCGTTGCAGACTGAGTCGTGCTGGCACTCGTTTTGCGACTTTCTGCAGACCGTTCCAGCAGGCGCAGGATGGCACTTTTTGCAGCATCCGCTGTTGAAGTCTGAGCACACAGCTCCGAGCCGCAGCTTGCAGTCGGGCGTGCAGCAAGCATCCCCAAAGGGTCCTGCATCGCACTCTTCTCCTTTTTCAACTATGCCGTTCCCGCACATTGGGTAGGGCATGCTGATTTCGTCTACCTTGGGAAGATCTATCTCAAGATGCGAAAGAACAACACTCATCAGCCTTTGTGCAGGAGGAGAGAACGCAAGAAGATGCGATTCTTTTCTCGAGTTCATAATGTACTTTCCCTTGCAGCTGCATCCTTTGCACGGGTTGCACACATAGTTCAGTGGATCTGCGGTCTCGCATGCCTTATCATCGCAGTCGTGGGGGAGGCCCAGGTTGTGGCCTATTTCATGCGCAACTGTGATGAACTGATTTTGCGTGAAAACACTGGTGCTAATATTCCTTCGGTTGTTGTACCCTATGGACCCTCGCCAGGCCAGGCCTATCTGCTTGCAGGGCTTCTCTGATGAGGTGAAGAGATGGTAGACCATGCACTTTTTTCGCTTTTTGGCTCTGTACTGCTCAAACTGCGAGAGTTTCTGCGTGAGAGTTCCCACACTGTGGAACCACTCTGCGTTTGAGTCGATGATTATATCGCTTACGTACAGCAGAACATTGAACGACTTTTCGTATATCCTGCTGGCAATGTTCATATTTTCAAGCGCAGAGAAAATAGCCTCTCTTTTTGAGCCCACCTTCTCTATGAAGTGGTAGTCCAGTGCAATGGCCACGGGTATAGCTCTTTTTTCTATGGGAAACCCGTAGTTGCTCATGGCGCCTATGGAGCTTTCTACCTTTGCTATTTGGGAGTAGTAGGGAATGCCAAGCAGCACAACTTCTCCCTTCTTTAGAGACTTGTTTGCCTTTGGAATCTGTGTGGTTACAAACGTGTTCCCAACGACCCTGTCCTTTATGTCTTTTATTAGCCTAGGGGTCTCCGACACTTTCTGGTGTGGTATTTTTTTTCTTCCTTTTCTTCTGTTTTCTTTCTTGTTTTTTATTCTATTTCGTGCCTTGCTCCTGTTTCGTACTGCTCTTTTCTTTTTTATGCGTTCTGTGCGAGATAGTGTCTGTCTTTCGGTGGGTGTGTAGCTTGTCTTCTTTTTTGTTTTTTCATAGCTTGGAAGAGATGGCGTGTCCTGCAACTTTGAAAACGCTATTTTCTTGTATGATAAATCGGATGCATCCTTGGCATCTATGCCTGGATTGATGAAGACAGACTTTTCATCTATCACTCTTGCAAAGACTTCTTCTTCTGCGTGCTCGCTCATCTGTATGCCGCTGTCTGAAAGGAAAGTCTCTTCTGTCTTTTCATTACTATCTTTAGTCTTATCGATCAAGCTTATTTTTGGGTCTATCTGCACGATATCTACCCTGGCAGCATCTATTTTACCTATCTCTACTTCAGTTAGATCTAAGGTTTTTGTGCTACTGCATGGCCCTAGCACAGCCAGCACATCTGGAGACTTTTTCAAGCTGTTTTTATCTTCTAGGCGGAGTATGGCTAAAGATGGGTCTGTGCACTCGATAGACACTGCAGATGCATCATTTTCTCTGCTAAGAACATTACTATTAACAGAAACATCCAGAAAAAAGTCATTGGGGTTTACAGCTACCTCACTCTCATCATTTGCATCGATATTCTTGGCCATTGCATCATCACTATATGCCGATTCATTTGAATAAAAGTCTGATTCGTTGCTATCATCATCAGAATGTTCAGTGCTGCCGTTCTCCAGACTTTCCAGGATCTCCTTACTACTCTTTTTCTCTAGGTGTATATGCTCTTCTGCAGCCTTCTCAAAAATACGATCCATCTCGTCTTTCTTCTCCTTCTTTTCATCACTCGTCTTTGTTTTATCTACACTGCCCTCTGCTGCAAACATGCTGCCCTCGCTCAGGCTCTTTCTGTACATTGACTTGGCATTGCACTGCTTGCATTTTGACTTCTTCGTCTGCTCTCGGAGCTTCTCTATTTCTTTTTTGACAGCCATCTTTCTCTCCCGCGCCTTCTTCTCCTCTCTCGTCTCTGGAGCAGTGAATGAGTCGTATGCACCACTCTCTCCCTCGCGCGCCTCTGGGTGTGTTTTAACGGGCTCCCACCAGAACACAAAGGGCCTGATGCTGCTTGGAACTAGCCTCTTCAGCCTGTTTAAAAACCCACCTTTTTCTTCGTCGTCGTCGTGTTTTGGCCTTTTTCTGAAATACTCTGCTGCTTTGTCGAAGTAATCTCTATCATCTTCCAGCGGCTCGTCAAACTCTAAGTTTTCAGCTGTGTCTTCAAGGGGCTTGCACACGTACTCAGGAAACTCTTCGTCTGCCACGAATGCCACGAGGTCTTTTTTCGAGCTGCTGGGAAAGAGAAACTGTTTGGGCTTAATGTGTATTATTTTCTCGTCATCTACGAGCACACCGCTCAGTATGCCTGTGGCGTTTTCTCGGAGAAACCAGCCCTGCACCTCCTGCAGAGCATCGTGTATGCAAAGCGCTTTGCTCTGCTCTTCTCTGGCGGACTTCTTTGTGTACACTGCATTGTATGTCGTAAACGAGCTCCTTCCAAATCTTTGGATCTTCTCCATGTGTATAACCGATGAATACACAAATCCACCGAGACTGAAGCTTATGTAAACGTTGAGATTTGAGTCTTCTGAAAAGTCAACGTCAACTGCTGAGTTTCGATACTTCTCGTCTATGTAGTAGCACAGTGCCAGCTTTACTAGAAGTAAAAATCTGAACCACATTTTACTCATAGAATTAATTTATTATATATGCTAAGGATAAATAATTTAATTTTAATAGCAGCACACCTGCAGTAAATTGCAATATGTCTTCCCTTCCATTCTATCAAATTAGTACATATTAAAAAGACAATAGCACGCCAGCACACTCTCGTGGTGGAAGATGCAGATAGTCTGTGGTAATTGCTGATAGAGATGCTATCTAGATAGAGTTCGCATATAAACTAGCATCTCTATCAGTTCATAGAGTGGATGCTAAAGGGATGTCCGAATATAATACACTTATGGTACTAAGTCAGACTCTTTGTTTAGCATCTATTACACAGCTTGTTCTTAGGTCGCTCTTTAGCAGGTAGAGGTATGGTCTATGAATTCTTATGCTGTGTGTAATAAATATACGATCTCTTTAGTAATGGGCAAATTTATTTATCATGTCTACTAGCTGCAGCAGATCCGCTAAATCTCCGTCTATCTATGTTCTATTTATTGTTCATGCACAGCTGTTTCTCTTTCTCCTTCATTCGCTAAGACAGAGAAGTATTTGCATATGTTTGGAATGACAGAGGTAGTGGGCTTTCTTTCTCTGGCAAGCCTGGCTATTTCTCTTTTGTACTCTTTGCACCCTTTTCTTCCGTGCAGCACTGGCTCTATGGGCTTTAGATCAACGTGTCTGCACAGATACTCTATTTCCCCTGACTCAGTCATCTTGATGTTTGAAAGGACATTTGGGTCGTGATCGCGTGCCTTGTTTGGGACTGTAGTTAGACAGGGCGATAGCACATCTTTCTTCATAAAGAGATCTCGCTCAGGTACTCTTTTTTCCAGCTCTTTTAGATAGGCTGCTATTGCATCCAGCGTGCTTATCTGTGACTTTCCGAATATTCTGCTTTCTATCTCTGCAAAGAACATGGGGTCATCCATGGGCTTGCGGCCCAGCATCACTCCATCTACTTTGTGCTGCAGCTCTTGTATGCTCTGCACTTCTCTAAGGCCTCCATTGAGTATTATTTTTAGAAATGGCATTTCTCTTTTCAGCTGGAACACATACTCGTACTTCAGCGGAGGTATTCTTCTGTTATCTGCAGGCGACAGGCCCTTCAAAAGACACTTCCTTGCGTGGACATAAAATGTTCTGCACGGCGTGTTTTCTACTATGATTTCTATCATTTTTTTAAATGACGGATAGTCTTCTACATCATCCACACCTATCCTGCACTTGACACTCATTACTACACCTGTTTCATCGTATGCTCTTTGTATTATGGACGCTATAAGGTGGGGGTCTTTCATCAGCATAGCACCAAAGGCTCCATTCTGCACGCGGTCACTTGGGCATCCGCAGTTCAAATTGAACTTGTCGTATCCCAACGCGAGTGCTCGCTTCACAGCCTGTGCGATCTGGGCAGGATTACTTCCTCCAACCTGCAGAATGCACTTATCAGAGGGAAGGCCTATCTTCCTCTCAAGGACCGAGCTGCTCATGTGTATTAGAGACGTATCCACCACCATTTCAGTGAACACCAGAGAGTTGGGCGATACAACTCGCATAAATCTCCTGTACTCTGGCGTGGAAATGCCTACCATTGGAGCCACTGAAACTTCAAATTCTCTTGCATCTGCATACTTTTCTTTTTTGCTGTTTTCTGCAATCAGCGCAGCTGAGTCCACTGGCATATCCATTCTAAGTAAAATTTTAATTTTCCTATATACACTGAGAAAACTCTTGCACAGGAAGAGCACATGCTAGAATTTTGAGTATATACGAGAATTTTATGTGGTGGAGATCTTTTAAAGAAAGATATCAGAATCTCTTGGTGGGGTATAGCATGGTGTAAAATACATTGCTATACGATAATTGGTGCTGCACTTTTGTGTTCTTTGGCTGTTTATGGAAGAATAGATGCTTTATAGTTGTATCAGCATTCTACTTTGTAGCAGAGAAGTAGTGGGCATTGTTTTAGCATTATTTGCCAAATCTCAAAAACAGTTAAAATTTCATTAAAACATCACACACTTTATAGCAGAGCTATTGAAGTATACACACGAACAGATCTTCTGACCATTTTAAAAATTAGAATATGCTCTTTATTCTGCAGAGGTGTGAAGAAAGTGCGTTGCACTTTATATTCAGCTGTCTTTCTATGCCATAACGCTCTAAGCTATGAGGCTGTTTAGCTCGTTAATGCTGCTTGGAGTTCTGTAAAAACTCATTCCTAGATTATTTTTGTCCTGCACTTCCACAACAAATGTGCTGGGAACTGTCTGGACGCCAAATTGGCGCACAATGTAGTTATCATTTTGCAGCATCTCTCTTGGCAGATGGCTTACGTTTATAAGAAGGAATCTGTTTTTAACATCTACAGAAACAGAATTAAAATACCGGCTTAGAAGCTCCTTGTATGCCTTGCATGGGTTGCACACCTCAGAAACAAAAATCACAACTCCTCTAGAGATGTTTCTGTCGCTAAAATACCGGTGCACGTGTTCTTTAGTCTGAATTTGGGGAGTATTTAAATCCATCATGTATGCTGAGGCAATAAAAAAATATAAAATAAAAGAGAGAAAGAGTCTCTTGCCTAGAATATTCATTTGTTCAAATAAAAAAATGGGAGACTATATATGTAATTCATTTTTCCTTAAAATAGAAAAGACCATTCTATGCCCACACTATTTTAATTTAGGTAAATTGCTATTCTCTAATTGCAGAATATACTTATAAACAGGCATATGAAAAGAGGGCCAGAGTGCAGCCAATATAGCAGATACTTCCTGTGTTCAGAGCCAGTAGGTCACTGCGCGGGCTTTGAGCGGGTTTGTTTCGGTGCGCTAAGGCATTTGATGGCCTTTTGCATGTATTTTCTTGGATTTTTTCTGTACAGCTCAGCTGCTTCTTCGTTTGCCGGGGAGTCGTTGTTTGGCTCTCCAAGAAGCGTGTGCACTGCCATCAGAATGGTTTTTATGTTCATCGAAGGAGTCCATGCGTCGCTGAGAATGTCCAGGCAGACAAACCCATCAGAATACACATTTGGGTGGTATATGTTTGAAGTAAACTTTACTTGCGGGGGACTGGCCGGATAGCTCGTGTAGAACTCAATAATAAGCCCCAAATTGCAGCCGTTGAAAGGCGACAGCTCTGGCCCCGGGATAGTGCACTCCCACATGAACAGATCTAGCGATTTGTCTTTTTTCATCACTGGTTTGGCAACAAATCCGAAAGGTCTATCTTTTCTCCAGTTTTCTCTTTCTTGTAAAATTCTTTGCTCTGCATTCATGCAAAAAGAAAAGTCTGCTCTAATAAAGATGCAATGCTGCTGCATAAAGAGACATTCTTTACACGCCCCACAACACATCTAAACTGCAACACCTCTATGCAAAGAGGTGCTATCAAGAGAGGTGTGCATACAATCAGAAGGGCTAGAATAAAAGGGGGTCTCCATCAATATTTTAAAAAATAGTACGTTTATTGCCCTGTGCCAAAATGTGATTAGACTGATGTTAAACAGATCCTAGTTTGCACTGCTGTCATTATGTTTATAATATCCATAGCATGCTGTAAGTACTATTTATTTATGTGCTAGTGGCTAGTCTCAGTTATTTATGGCCTTTGCAGGGCCCTTCTTCTCTGCCTGTTTGTTCTCTTTATTTGTTTTTTTGTTTATAGTTGACTCTACTGTTGTGTTTATTTTGCTCTCTGTTCCGTCGTCTTTCTTTATTGTAAAGCTGACATTCTTTTTTATCTCTAAAGAGTCATTTTTATTGCTAGAAGGATTGAATTCCTGGATCATAACTCCATTAATATCAGCGTCTAAGCTCTTGTCTAGAGATTTACTGCTTGCATTGTTCGCACTAGTGCTATCAGCTGCACTAGTTTTCTTGAGTGCCACTAGCAGCACAGATAGAATAAAAGCAAGAATGTGTGAACGCATACTGCTCTGTTTCTATTTCCTTTAAATACTTTATTAAAATAACCAGCGAATAGTTTTCAGAGAAAAATTAAAAAACCAATCCAATTAGCAGCCGTATATATTTTTTAATTTACACATTCAAACTCCGCCATTATTAATAAACAATATAGACCAATGGTTTCGACTAAATTACATTGAAAATCAGTGCGTGCTCTTGGGTTGTTCTAAAAAGAAAGATCAACAGTCTATGGCTGTAACACCCACAAAATACATCTTAGAAAGGTTATTAGATGGATCTACCTAGCTGTGGCTAATTAAAGAGAGAATTGTCTTTGCATACTCCAAGAGGTTCTATGGATAGAACTCACGGGCTGCACAAAGGAGAAAAGTCTGCAACACACGTTAGATTTTTGATTTATTTTTACTCTAGCTGATTAGACCATTTGCATAAAAGTACATTTATGATTCAGAACATATGCCATGTCGGAGGTGGTAAATGGCGCCTTTTCTTTCATGTATTTCTGCATCTTTACAAATAAAGACGAAATTTTTGATTTGATTCGCATCTTCCTTGCCTTCTCTTTAAACGGCTTATTTTCAAAAAGACAGTTCCAGCTGGAAGTGCACGCACACGTATCTACAAGATCTTCTGGCGCAAGCCCAAGCTCTGAGGACGCCCAGTGCTCGCCGCTATAGGAGGAGTATCTGCTTCCTATAAAGAGCTCGCCGCTGTTTTCAATGCGCGAGATTGCGTATAGCTTTGCGCGGATAGGGTTCACAAGGAACGGGCTTTTCTTGAGAGGAGGCTGGGCCTTCCACCCATTCTCGCACGCCTCCAGGGAAATGGCTACGTTGGGCCTGCAGGATCTCCTGATAAACCGCACAAGGTTTCCGCTTCTTCGGGAGTCGAGGACCAGGCCGCTTTCTCGGAAGATAAAGCATCTGCTTGGGCTCTTGGACTTTTTCGTAGATCCTCCGTCGAGCATGCTGACACTGCTCAGAGCTCCCCCGATAAATCCTATGGTTTCGTTTGGGTTGTACTCTTTCTTTGAGAAGAGCCCGTAGAAAGAAGAGCCTGTGCGCGCAAATCCTCTCCTTTTGACTTTTTGCAGAAAAAGCGACTCTTCCACCAGGGCCTGTTTCTCTGCCTCAATTTTGCTCTGCCATCTTCCATCTTTGTTGAACACAATGTCGTCTGTGTGCACATAGTCAAGACCCTCTTCAGTGCACTTATCACAGTATTTTTTGGAGGGGTGGACGTACAGCTGCTCTGTCGTGATAATACTTTCTTTTTTGCTGTTGAAGCAGTTTTCGTTCGAGCAGCGTCTCAAACTAACTCTAAGGAGCATTTATAATTTTTCTCTCGAAAATTAAATCGACACAAATGAGAAGCTATGCTTATTGGCTTTTGCTTTCTGTTTTGGAAGAGCTCAAGGGAAACAAAAAAGACATCCAGCAGTTTGGAGCCAAGCTGGGAATTAAAATAGCAGAGGAGCTTTCGTACAATGAGCTCCCGCAGGACAGCCTTGTAGCCTTTATCCGGCACATTCTCCCAACGATCAGCAAATACATGGACAGCCAGATAGACTGCACAGAGGAGAAGAAGGAGATATCCATCCATGTTGGAAAAGAAGATTCAGATGGCATGCAGGAGGAAAAGCTGGAAATGCTCTCTGGGGTTCTTTCCGCTGTCGTAGAGAGGGTGCTAAATATAAAGATAAAAGTAAAGACGTATGCGCCTAGTTCTCTACTTATTATACAGAACACACTATAACAGTGCATACTATTTATTCATCAGTCGGTAGATGAGTGTGCAGCTGTGTGTCCATCGATGGCTTTGTGTCTAAAGATGCAAAGTTAAGACAAGATGAGGCTACTTTATTCTTCCAACCATCCTGTCTGTACTTATTATTCACAGTGCAGAAAGAAGAGGTTTTAAGAGAATTTATCTGATAATAAACGAGGTGTATTTATTCAATTAAACTCTCCAACGGACAGCTAGATTAAGAGTAGCTAAGACAAATATAGTAAAGTCTTCCTAGAAGTATCTGGAGACAGTTGGCAGCCAGATCACTAATAATTGCAGTCTTCATGGGAAAGAGTAACTCAAAGGAATACAACTGTAAAGCTGGAAAGTCACAGACAAACTAGCAGATAAGCTGAGCATATGCACTATGAAGTACTGCAGTTAATGAAGAACAGTATAAGTATACATAGACAAGAGAGGATACTTATAAGAGACCTACAGAATACTATATAGCGACAGTATGCTATACTTTACCAGAAGAAATAAGTGTCTCTAGTATCTCTTGTGTGTACATACTGCGGCTCTTTTGGCGCGTAAGCGAGTGCAATGTATCCAAGAGAAAGGCTGGGGGAGCAAAATTAGCGCAAAAATATCGCATGGCTCTGCGCATGCCAACTTCTATTTTTTTTTCTTTTTATTTTTCCCTTGCAAAATGGAGTCATTGAAATATCCGTCACCAGAGACTATTCTTAGAACATGCAAGAAAAAGAGGCTAATACCCACTCCAAACTCATACTACATGGACGTTAAGTGCAGCGAGTGCGAGAAGAGAGTCACAATCTTTTCCCACTCGCAGACTGTGATCTCCTGCAAATCATGCAGCACTATTCTTGCTAAGCCATCGGGCGGAAAGGCAAAGTTAACAGACGGATGCAAATTTAAGATAAAGCCAACATACTAAACAATAAAAAGTAGAAGAGATTCTGGTCATTAATATTTATTTCTGGTCTTCTATTTTGGAGATTCCCTCTATTATATTTGTGTCTAGGTTAGTAGATACAGAGTGCTCTGTAACGGAAGAAAGATCGATTTCAGATGCAGCTGCTGCTCGCTTGCTTAGAAGACCCATGAATTTCTCGTATTTTTTTGTATTCTTCTCTGATAGGATTCCGTACTCCTTGGCTTTTTCTATGTCGATGCTCTGCACAAGCGCAGGCTCCATATGGCTCTTAATGGTCTGCAGATTTTTGATGGTGTTCTCAGAGTTTAGAAGGTACAGCATGAGGGCTGTGATAGATGCCAAGCTGTGCTGTGCCAGCTGGAGAACCGGTCTGTATGTATTGTTCTTCTTGTTCAGCTGCACAACCAGCCCATCTATTGTGTACACTATTTCTTTGTAGTTGTCTCTTAAGAACTCTCGGGATGCTCTTACACTGTCTAGCAGATCTGAGAGGTATGCCGCCATCTGGGCGAACAGGTCATTCTTAAGCTTGTGCATGCACTGCTGCGATGACTCTGAAAGAATGAATAGAACGGAGTAGAATTCCAGAGAAAGATCGAAGTCGCGGTGTGTAATTTTATGGATCGCTATATCATCGAGTGTATGCTCAGAAGCCATCGCAGGTGACTCTCGAAGTGTGTGCATGTACCATAGAACAGTGTAGAAAGTAACTGTATTGCTTGCAGAGTAGATGGAAGAGGGCGCCCCATACTCAAATGGGTTGAAGTAGTTCAAGAATGTCTCCAGAGCCTCCACTTCGTTATATTCCACCAGGTAGAACAGAATGGTTTGAATAAGCGTCTTTAGACTGTGCGCTACCTTCTCTGAATGAGGCGGTGTACCATTCTTATTCTTATGATCAGAGGGCAAGAGCTCATCTGCAGCTGCTGGATTGTTCTCGTGATAGTCAGCGCCAAATGAGTCATGGGCAAATGATGTCTCATCGTTTGTGACTGCAGAGGGCAGAGCTGACGGGTTTAGAGTAGAGGCTGTTCGTGCTGCTAGCTCTGGATAGTTTCCGCTATCAGCATTGCTGCATGGCGCAGAATGTTTGCTGCTTAGGCCCTTCAATGCTTCGTCTAAAAAAAGCAGAATGGTACTCTTGAGATGTTTTGTTTCCTTGAAAATTTTAAAGATAGTTTCCTGGAATTCTTTCGCTGGCACAAGGTCTTCTTTTGCGTATATCATGTACATATCTAGAGCGGCTTTGGCAGCTTCTGTATTATTGCTCCCTGCCAGATCGTCTAGTGCACTCTGTATTTCAGGCAAGTAGAGAGCTGGATCGATATTGTGTTTGCTCTGTTTCAGTATTCTGAAGAGATGCATTCTGACTTCAAGCGTCTGCACTTTCTGCGCAAACTCTTTGTACTTTAAAAACACCTTCATTTTGTCATCTACACCGCATGCCACAAGTGCTAGAAGGTTTATCCGCGTGCTTTCGCTCTCTTCTTTTTCAAGCTGTCGCAGGAAAGACGGATCGCATATCTCTTTCTCGACTCTTCTGTAGAACCCTCTTAGGAAAGGGAGGAGCTCTGGGGCTGTCATGTTGCAAACTTCAAAGAGAGGGAGGACGTTAGATAGAGAGAGCTTTCCCAAATACTTCAAACGGTTGATTATTGCAAATATCTTTTTGATAAAGCTTGTGATGTTTTGTTTTTCTGACAGATAGCACTCGCACACCAGCGAGAACGTGTTGATGAGATACTTAACATCGCTGGGCGCTAGCATTTCCGAAAACTCGTTTATATTTGATGCAATTATTTTTAAGTAAAAGACCCGTATGGCTTTCTTCTTGTTCTTCAGCAGGTCAATCATTGTTTTCGCTATGACCTTTGTGTTTGTGCCCTTGATCGCCTGAATATTTTTGAAAATAAAAGAAACTGCGTTTCCTCTGATCCTTTTGTCTTTGTCTCGTATTCTTCCCTGGATGTACGGCAGTATCTCGTCCACTCTTTCGGGGCGGGCCTGCAGTATTTTGTTGTAAAGAGCTGTAATAAGCGATGAGTACACAACTCTGTCTGCTCTTACTCTGCTTGCGCCCTGTTCTTCTGCCTTGCTGATCAAGTCGAGATCTTCGATCTGCGGCATGACGTGGGTGTCCAGCTTTTGCTGTATTTCTGATGGCGCTGTCTTTTCGTCTATTTCCATTTGAAGAAGCACCGAGACGTGCTGCCACAGGCTGTCTTCTTCTGCTTTGTGTTTCTCCATTAAAATAAAAAAAGAAGAAATTATATGGTAAAATATTAAAGGTTAAATCTCTCAGATATAATTTAGGTAGCATTGTTTCACGTCACTGATCAGACAAACGCGATAATCCTCATTGAGAAAAGATGCAGAAGCATAAGGCTGTTAAAACACAATAAGACTAACGACCGGGGTGCAAAAAATAATAAAATAAATAAAATATTGAAACCGCCAGTTCAGACGATAGGCACACTGCACGTCTGCTGCGCCATGCAGGGCGCGCTGTGCTCGTATCCACGCACAATTCTCTTTCTATGCTGGTTTAGGCAATGCAAGGCTAGTAGAGATTCTCTGATCAGTTTGCTCTTGAAGCTATAAACAACTGGCCAATTTAGTGAGTTAATAGCCCGAGAATGCATTTTGTGTGGGTGGCATAGCAAACTTGTGGTGCACGAATATTGGTGCAACTACGCCAGTGTAAACATGGCAGAAGAATAAAAGACTTATGCAGGCGCTGGCCAATTGGAATGCAGTGAAACTCAGTAATATTTATTTTGTTGGTTTTTTGCTTTTTTTGGACTTTTTATCATGCACCACTTTGAACCCGTCGCTATCAGTGTCGCTTTCTTCTTTTGATTTTGGCGCGTTCTTTTTGGGCAGCTTTGCTGTTTTCTTTTGCTCTAGTGTCTGAACGGCCGTGTATGTCAGCTGCTCGTCTTTTTCTTTCTGCTTCTTCTTTTTTGTTTTCAGATCCACGGTTACCCAGTCTTCGCCGGTTGAGAACTCTTCCTGGGGATTTGCCTCCTCCAAGATAAAGTTGCCCTGCTCGTCGAATCTTCCAGCACACTCTTGTTTTGTATCCCACTCTTCGGGCTCTTCCTTTGCTTCCTCGTATTTTGGGTCTTTTGTCTTTTTCTTTGGAAACGGCGAGTTTATGCATCCTCTTTCTTTTGTTGATGGTGGAAGAGAAATGTGGAGCTCCTGCGGATCAGCGCCTATTATCTCGGACTCTTCGTTTAAATAGAGAGGGAGCTGTTCTTGGAGCTTGCTTATCCTGCTGTATGCCTCTTCTATTGCGTTGCTCTTTCTTTCTGTCTCTTCTGCTGGCTTCATCATATAAAAACAATTATGAAAAGAAAGTTTTACAGAAAAATGTACGCTTTTCGTATCAAGAATAGAGAAGCACGCGCTCCTGTGGAGATGGCCGTTTTCGTTTATTTAATAAATCGCATAATATTGTCAGCGCTTGGGATAAGCTGCAGATATCTGCAGATGGCCTTTGCTGTCCCATTGAAAGGAGGAGACTCAACGGAGCATATGTCTATCCCCTGCGTGCTCTCCGGTGTCTCCAATACTGTGTAGTAGATGGCTATTATGATCAGAATGGTAAAGCTGTGCGTGTAGTTTTTTAGGGGCGCATAGACCGACTGAAGAGTGGTGTTTATGATCATGATAAATATCAGGGCGCTGAACACAGAGACTCCCAAGAGGAGGTTTTTATCTGTGTACTGGTAGTACACGTTTGCAAGGAGCAGGCCTGAAATACACAGCTTTGAAACAAAAACAGCAGCATCCAGGATGAGTCTAGTGCCTCTGGAGGCAATTTTCAGACATCCTGCAGTTTCGCCATAGTCCGCAGGGTTTCTCTCTGATGAGCCTTTTAGTAGATAGAGCTTTGGGTTTTCGTATAGTTTTTCCACGCTATTTCTGTCAATATCCACATCCTGTAGGCTGTCCGCTACATGCAGACCCGGATTTAAATATCTACTCTCTACGTTAATTGCAATTTCTGGCATGTTGATTATGTGCGCCCTTCCTGTAGTGTATATAGCTACTGCACTGTGTCCATCTCTAGAGCAGTGGCTTTTTTTGTGCTCTGCAGCATCTTCTGCTGTGCCAGCTTTATTTTTATCCGATGTGTGTTCAGTGCTTGCAGACTCTTTATTTCTATCTAGAGCTGAAAGCGCATAGCTGTCTGATTTAGTTTCTGCCTTATCTTTACTTTTTCTTGGTGTTTCTTTTTTTGCGTCTTCATTTACTGAGCTCTCTCTGTGCACTCTGAATATCGCCTTCAGAGGCCTGACTATAACCAGTTTTTCTGCGAATAGCAGGATAGACATTAGAATGGAAAAAATAAAGATAATGAACATGTATTCCCACAGAGAGCTGTTGTGCAGCGTTTTAAAATATGCAATTAGCTCGTCTGAAATGCCCACAAAAAGTGCCATAAAGGCCGCAAACTCAAGAATGCATATCGGCACCAGCATAAGAAGCACAAAAACACTTGCGAGCAGCAATTGAAACACGGTGCCTGTTTCGTATTTGAAAAGGATGGGAATGAGAATCCAGGCCTCGATGTTCTGCACTGCCAAGTTCGTGAGTGTTTTTCCTCCTTTTTCGGCTAGCTGTGTGCATCTTTTCAAATCCATCTCTGCACAAGACCGCAGAAATAAAAGACAAATAGTTGATGGAACATTGCAGATTAAGGAGAATGCGTCTAGACCCATTTTCAGAGATAGAGCTAGCTGGGAAGTCGCACACGGCAAACGAGCAGAAAGAGCACATCCTTGCTGTCAAAGAATCTCTCGGGTATTTTCTAAAACAGGAAAAGCCGATAGCCAACCTGCACGACATGTACGAGAAGGTTGAAAAGATTGAGAAAGCGCTGGAGAAAAGCAAAGATCCTGTCCAGCTTTCCCCTGACCTGATAGAGCAAATCAAAGCTCTGTCTGAGCAGCCAATAGTAAAAAGATCGGTTGAAAAAAGGCCGCCTGTGCAGAAGAACTGCTGGACGCTTTTTGACTACACAAACTGAAGGCGCGTCTAGGATCTTTTATGGCTTCCATCAAACATTTATCCTGTGGTTGTTTGCTTTTAACAAACGTATAGCTTTTGTAAATATTTAGCGTAAAAATAAGAAAAGGCTTTTATTATTGTAGGAGTTTGTTTATAAATAAATGTGTATATATTGGATTTAGTGATGCAAAAATTTCTAGAATAATAAAAGCTACTTATACAGAAATAGACCTCCCTGCTTAGAAACTATACACACCTGCCACAGCTACAACATATTTATTATACCCCACTACTTACTGTGTAGTCTTTTCTCCAGCTATTCATTTCATCCATGTCTCATTTCTGCTATTTCAAAGAGCATAAACAACCTACTGGCTGAATGTGTGCATATTAGAGAAAATACATCGCATGGGGCTGGAATGGCTTGCCAGTGTTACCAGAGACATTTTCTTCCCTTCTCAAAAGATACGAAAAGCAGCCAGAGTCTCTTATATCTACAGTCTGCAGCTTTAAAGCAATTATTTTAGTATCCGATAATTTTTCAGATTTCACTCTGCAGACAGTATAGAGTGCGCTTGTAGCCTGCCTACTGTGGAAACACGCTGGAGAGCATATCTCTTCCTAAAATGCAAACATTATAGAAGGTGTGAAGAATCTGCTCTCTTCTGCTGCGTCCAATATTATTTATTTTTTTAATATAGACGGAATGCAAGATAAAATGGCTAAATATCCCAAAATATCTTCAAGAAACAACGCAAATGCACACGGCGCCAAGGGGCAGGCTGCGAACAAATAGCATTTGGCAATACGCACGGGTTGGATGGTATGAAAAATCAGCCATTGAAATAAATAAATAAATATTTTTTACCCCTAGTAAATGCAAACACAGACACAAACAGTAAGAGCCAAGCCGCTCAAGAAGATAATATACTCCAGCTGTTTTGTAGGAATTGTAAGTTTGGTCTTAGCATATGTTGCATGCACTGTATACTTCAAATTCTTTGCAGTTGACGAGAAGACAATGGGGACAATGTTCTACTCTTGGAGAGCAGAGGGCGCAGACGAGTCGTCTCTTAAAGAGAAGGCCGACAAGATCCCAGGCACAGAGAGTCTCAAGAGCATGAAAGCAGTTTTTGAGAACTACGTGTCTGACAGCTTCCCAATCCACCTGCCCCGATTTGCTGCAAACCATTTTACATTCGCTTATCCAAACATGGACATCTTCCTCAACTTTAGAAAACATATTGTAGACGCACAGAACGCACTGTTCTCCAGCAGAAGCGAAGAGAGCATTAAAGCTCTGAAAGACTACAACAAGAAGGTCAATGGAACAGTCTACTACTCAAACGCATGGGAAACCAGCAATGATCTCGATGGAATAATAGAAGAATTCTACAGCGGCCTTTCAGCAGATAAAAAGGACGTATTCAGAAACTCAACGGTAAGACTTATTGATTTATTCGATAACTTAGTAAATGACGACAGTTACAAGTTCAATGGAGTAGAGCCATCAGAGAAGGCAATTGAGGACTTATCTGACATACTATACAATTTTTCTGCAAGAGGAGCAGGAGAAGAGAATAAGCTTCTTCCATACGTTCAAAACAATGCGGATATGAAAATATTCCTCAAGAGCATAGGCCTCCAAGATAAGACAGGCAAGGAGCTTAGCAGCGGGCTAGCGTCAGTGTTCTTCAACTCTCTGACCAACGGAGTCTTGTATCCATACTTCTCATACGGATACTCGACTGCAGTTAACACTCTTTTATATCTGTGCTTAGACATGCAAGACCTTGCGTACGACGAGAACGTAAAGCTAGAGCTCGAAGACAGCATCAAAGAAGTTGCAGAAGAGCAGCAAAAATCAGCAAACAGAATCTCTGCTTTTGGATCAGCAATTGCCTATGGTATTGCAAAAAACCTGTCCCCAGCTGAAACAGTTGGCGAAAAGACCGTCAAGGATAACTCAAACATGCTTGTGTTCTCTTTATTCACATCAAAGTTAGCCACCCCTTCAAGTGAAACACCCGAGAATCTAGAAAAGATTGTGGCACATCTTAAAAAAAAGAGAGACTTACTTTTAAGCCTTTCTAAAGAATAGATGATGAATAAATAAAAGAGCTATTTAAAGTTTTAACGAAGTTTTGGTTTATCTGCTCTCTTTGGGCTCTGGCCTTTTGGTATTTCTTTCTACCATTTCTTTGTTTGCACACTTTCTAAATGCTCGAGGAATATTGCTAGCAGTCAAGAGAAACAGTGGTTTTCACAAGTGTCTGCTATTGCACAGGGTTTGCTATCTGATGGGAATGCTTGCTCTTCTGGATGCACGCTTCTTTGCTCAGTATTTAGACACTTCTGTATTCGGCTATTGAGCGAGAGAGGATTTTTAAACTTTTATTTTTTGCAATTTCTCTCATGCCAGGAGAATTAGAGAAGAAGCCAGTGGGTAAAAGAAAAATAGAAACACTATGCCACATAGTCCTAATAGGGTTTGCTCTGTTTGGCTGCATTTTAAACGTAAGCAGGCTGGGGGAGAGAAAAAATCAAGCAATAGCCGATAACGCCGAGCTTTTCCGAAAAAACTACAGCGCAGCTCTGCTGAATGTAGTGGAGGATCTTAAAACCCGGGACATCATAGATCTGCACAACATCTTTGTAAACCAGTCTGAGACTGACGGGGGGCTAAGCTCTGTGGGAGGAGTAGGGATGCACTCTACTAACTACTACATCAAGCCCGGGTCGGGCTGGATAGGCAGCGAAGAGGAAACAGGCCCGGTAATGAGTCTGATAAATAGACTAATAACTAGCAAGGTCAAGAACCCGTTTTTATTTGGGTTCAAGGACGTTGGCTTAGAGATATCTGAGCTGGTGGACAAAGTCTACAAGAGAAAGGGATTTATAAATGGATTCAAGGACAACCAGCTGATCAGACTAGAGACCGAAAACTTCTTTAAAGGAGATCTCTCCAATGAAAAGTACGCTGTGGCCTTTGACATGTTCTACTTTCTGCTAGCGGACATGGGAGCTAGCATAGACGTTAAAAGCCACATCAATGACAATGCGAAGCTGACAATTGACAAAAAAGAGTACATCATAGCTGCATGCTATCTAGGAGACATCGTAACCCAGATACTAGGAAAGCGCATACCCGCAGCTGATTTCTGTCCACAGACTGCCTCTCTCAGCAAGGAAGACTTTGCGAGCTCCAGAGTTGAAAGCGTGCTCAGTAAAGGATCAAAATATTTCTTGAAATAAGAAAATTAAAAGCATTTTAGAAAAACAAAATGGATAACCAGTCGGAAAAAAAGAGCAGGAGAAATCTATCAGAGCTAATAGAAAACAGTGCAAATGACCCAGAGCAGGCAATGGTGCACAGGAAATACCTCATGTACAAGGAAGAGTATGTAAGGTCTTTCACGCTGACCCAGTACATGATCCAGAAGCTCCGCGGGAGTCTTATTAATAGTTTTGTGCCAGGGGCTGTTGGATGGACTCTTCTCTACTCCTCAGAGATGCACGGGTACTCGCTGAATACACTCATATCGCAGGCGATGAAAGGGCCCAGCAGAGGCTGCTTTATTCTCTCTGTGATAGAGGACCTTTGCACACAAAGCGAGTACGAGAGAGTCTTTGGCGTGGTGTTTTTTGAAAAGCTGCGGTACGAAAATTCATCGTTTGGCACGGGGGATACTTCTCTGTTCAGGTTTAGAACACCGAGAGAGCAGAACATGGGAGCGGGCCCAAATGCGCTGCTGAACATATACAGCGCAAACACAGGCATTGAAAAGCGCATGTATATTATGGCAAAGAGAGAGTATTTGGCGTTTGGCTGCGGGAGCGGCAAGTTTGGGCTGCGCCTGGAAAAGACTCTTCTTCAGGGCGAGTCAAATGCGGTGGAGACATTTAACAACGAAGTGCTGAGCCACAGAGAGAAGTTCAACATCCGGCAGATTGAGCTGTGGCATGTAAGGACGTAAATAAATAATAAGTTAAGTGCAATTTTTTGTATAGGCTGTGCTCATATGTTGCAGCAGCACACTAACAGTGCAGTCTTTTTAGCTCAGTGCACTGCGGGATGTGAACAGAGATAGATCGCTGGCTACTGCTAGCCAATTACTTAGATATCACGTTCTATCTTTATGTGCCACTTAAGCTGCTTTTCTTGAGCCAATAAAGAATATCTGCTGCTCACTGAATTGCTAAATTTCAAACTCTCTATATAGTTTCTTTGCGCACGTCACTTTGATTTGAGTCAACAAGTGAATTATTTTGATCGGTAGCTTAGCCAGTGCGGAGTTTGTCTTTCTACGTCTAGCAGACACCATAAAATAGCAAGAGAATGAAAGTAGTATGAAATGCTCAAGAAAGGGCACATGAATTTAAATGACTTTATTTTATAGCGGAATTTTAAGATGCTCTTATGCTGAGCTGCCTCTTATCAATTCAAAGGTTTAGACTATAAGAGAGTTGAAATATCTATCTCAGGAGGTTAGCATGATCGGGGAAGGCTCTGTTGAGACAGCGTATTTTTCTACCCTTTTCACCAATTCTTCGGTGCTGTCTTGGGGCTGTGCTGTTTCTTTGACAGGATCGACTGGGAATAATACAGACCGGAAGGTGAACAAAACAATTCCTGTGACAGAAATGCATAGGCCAAAGACATTCACCGCAGAAAGTATGAGCTCTTTTCTTTGTACCGAAATGCACAGGATGGCGATTTCCTTGATGATCATAACAACAGACGAAACCATAACGTTTGTTTTTGAGATAACCACAAACTCGGCCAAGCACCCGAAAAAGCCGATAACGCCTGTTGCAAAGATCAGGAAAAAACACAGGAAGATCGAGGCACTGGAGACACACTTGTCGCAGTTCAAAAAAGAGAACGCTCCTTCAAAGAGAAAGAAGCCAGCAAACAAGAAGATGCTAGAGAGAAGAGAAATCACTGAGAGGCTGTGCAGAATGCTGTCGTTTTTCTTTGTGCTGTGCTTTATGAAATACTCCAAAAACCCCCATCTGAATCCCGCCATCACACAGGCCCCTATGATCATAATGCCGTACTTTATGTTAAACTGAACGGTGTCGCTTTTAGCAGCCAGAGATATTCCAGAAGCAATCATGAAAATAATGCCCACAAGGGTGAATGAGGGGCGCTCCAGCTGAAAGATAAATCGAGCAAATAGAATAAAAATAGGCGTGGTTGACTTAAGCATCGTGTAGAAGGGCAGAGAAATCTGGGTTAGGGCATGGCCTGAAAACCCGCTGTCAATCGACCCGATAAAGGAGCACACGACTATCCACACATTGAACGCGCCAATGTCGTTCAGAAACTGATAGATGTGGTACAGCACACTGTTGGCTGCTGTTTTTGTAGACCGCGCAGGTGTCTCTGCGTACTCTCTTTTCTGCGGGCTTTCTGTCTGCGAGGAAGCCAGCGGAGACCCTATTCTCTCTCGCATTATGTAGGGAAGCGGAGACTCAATGGCCTGCTCGTGCAGAATGCCTTTCTTCAAGTACCATATTCCAAAGGACGCTAGCACAAAGTGTATGAGCTGGTGGAGCGAAAAGTACAGCAAAGGAAACTCAAAATTGTATCCGTGCACAGACAGAAAATACGAGGAAAAGTAGCTATGGCCCAGTGATGTTGCAAAGAAAAAGGAGATGCAGGCGCCTATGCCGAGAGCTTCGCGTGTCTTCATTTGGTAAGTAGATGAATTCTTCTTTCTTTGTTAATAAAACATATGTTTCAAGCAGGGACGGAAACTCAGACAAAACACGAAAACAAACAGAAAACAGGAGATAGGCTGGCTCAAAGCACGCTGTTGTTTGACGAGCTTGTTGTCTCTATATCTGCTCTTGAGCTGGCGCGCTGCAGCTTTGCGCTGTCAAGACATCTGGTTGACTTGTTTGTGTGCTGTGTTGTTGTATGGCCGTATAGAAAGTATTTGCAGCCAAATGAAGTGTTTGCTGTGCTAGGAGCCGTGCGGTGGATTTTTCGCAAAACAGAGATCCCCACCGAGCTGTTTTTCTCTCTTGGGATCCAGCACAAGAGTATGCCGATTGGGTGCAGCCTAAAACACATGGCGGTATATGGACTTCGAGAGCTTTTTACAGACGTAAAAACACTCTCTGGAATAGTGGCATGGGCTGGAGGCGCTCTGTACGCGCTTGTTAGCATCGGAGTATTGTGTGTGCTATTTCGCTTTGAAGTGTCTGTTAATGTAAAGAGAAAGTTCTTTCACTGGGCCCTGTTTCTGTACTACTCGATCTTTCCTGCAAGGATCGCCAGAACACAGTCTGTTTGTCTTTTGTTTCTAGTGCAGCTGGGGCTAAAGCTGCTTGAGTCGTACGGTCACTTTTTTAATGTAGACGGGAAGAGCATGCTGAGCGGGCTTACATCCGAGAAAGACAGAAGGGGAGTTATCTCGCACGTGCTTCTGTTGGCAGGGTTTCTTTTCTCAATTGACGGGATCCGAAAAGATAGAAAGCGTCTTTTTTTTGTGCTGTCCTCTGTGGGGATAGTGGACGGGATTTCGTGTTTTTTCCCAAAGTCCAAGAACACGCACAAAAGCAAAATAGGGAGCTGTGTGGGAGCAGTCGTGGCCAAAGCCATTCTCAGCCTCTTTTTCCAGGCAGACTATCCTTTATGGATGTATCTCTTTGTCGGAATGGGCGAGTACTGCGCGCACATGAACGACAACATCCTTCTTCTGGTGATTGCGCATGGAGTCACGCACAGAGATAGCGGTTTTCAGAAAATAGAAAAAGTGCACATGTCTTAGATGGAAAGGTGCTTAATTATAATTTAGCATGCTATGGTGGGCAGTGCGGCATAGAGACCTAAATGCAGGGTGGCGTCTACTGTTTATTATCTGTGGACTAAAAACCACCAGAAAAATAAAAGAAAAGTCAGCGGCCAGTAACTAGAGCATGCATAATGTGACTCGAGGAGTACTAAATAGAAAATTGGAATAAAGACTATTTATTTGTAAAAATACCGCATAAATGGAATATATCTGTGTGAAATTAAAGGATTGCTTCTTCGGGAACATCTATATTTACCCCCCATACAACAAAGCTATTATCACGATCTGTTTTGAAAAGAGCGCCAGGGTCTGTAACTGTACTGTTGCTAGTGAGACAGTTTGGACAGACACCCAAATACTCACCAGAGCTGGCAGACTTAAATCCATAGGTTTTTTCAGAATGTCTTTCAAGAATCCACATTTCATCATTTGTTCCTTCGTTTATGGTGTCTCGGTAGAGCGATACAAGAGGTAAGTTAGAGACTTCTGATGTGCAGTTCGAGCATCTGCTTAGATACATACCTGTTTTGATGTTTTTAATAGTGCATCTGGCTCCTTCAGGAGTTAGCTTCCACATTCCTTCGTCGCCACCGTATGACCTGTATACCATAGCCATGTTTCTGTATTTGGCATTAACGCAGTCCTCACATGAAGCCAAGTATAGCTTAGTGTGTATAGATTGTAAGCCGACCTTGTCTTGCTTCTCTAGCCCCAAGCATGGTCCAAGTTGTTCATTTTTTCCTTCGTGTGGATGACCTGTGCGTTTTCTGGAATGCAATCCGCCATTAAAAGAATTTCTTCTTTCAATTGGGTTTGCTTGTGGAGTTGGTGCTTTATTCATAAGGCAGGTGTTGCCGTATTGGCATGAGTTTGCAAAATGTTGTCCATTTGATTCATCGGGTGAGGTCCATACATTAACTATTCCTGGATTTACTTTTACAGTGTCATCAGTAGATCTCTGTACTACATTGAAGTCTGGGGCTTGTGAACTTCGCTCTTGTCTAATTCCTGTTGCTGCTTGATTTAGTTTAAAATATATTGTCAAAAAAAGGGCAAAGGTCTTAGTGATAATCATTCAATCCACTGTGTAATTTTAATATTTATATTATATTTCGAACATTGTTTCATTTATTATTTGCACATTTCTTATTTATATGGCATGAAACGTTTTACTTTTGTGTTGTCCTAAATATATTTCCCTGTGTCAATTTGATTTGGAATCTCGATGCAAAAGGATCTGTGCATGATTTATTTCTTGTAAATGGAGATTGCAGAGAAAAAATGCGCAAAAAAGGTAGAAGACAAATATATAAAACCCGGACATCCATGTGTGCACTATCTCTTTTTCTGTGGGTGCAAAGACTAGATATTGACGAGATGGCTTTCTCCGCACTGAGTGCAGGGCCTGATGCAGATATAAAGAGCTTTAATGAAATTGGAGAGTGCTTGGCTGATTTTATTATGGGGAAAAGAGAAGGGTTTTTTCTGAGAAAAACACTGGACTGCAAATCAAATAAAAAGATCAGAATTCTAGAAACATTAAAAGACGTACTCTCTTGCATAAAAAGGTGCACAGAGACACCATTTAACTCCCAAAGGGCAGAGTGCATCCGCAGAAGTGCTATTTTTCAGTATCTTGCAACAAAGGGCCGCAGTATAGCAGAGGGATACTTTACTCGATCCAAAGCACTAGAGAGCAAAAATCTCCAGAATACTCAAGAAAACAGCGCATTTATTGAAAGCAGACAGGCTGAGTCTAGAATAGGCCTGGTGAGTTGCAGAAAGGTGTGCGATAAAGATGCAATTTGGACTGAGCTTGTTAGAAAGAAAACAACCATGCCATACTGTGCTGATTTTCTGCAAAAGTGCAAAGAGAAAACCAAAGTGTCTGCAGCCACTGCTATATCTTTCCAAGAAATAGACGCAAACATAGAGTATGACTTGTGCATTGCAAAATACTATAGCATTGTCAATAAACAGAACGGCTCTGGGTCTCTATTTCTTAGTGATGCGTCACACAGCTCTAATGTACACACACAGGGGCCGTACTTTTACAAATTTAAACTGAATAAATAGCATTTGTGCACTAGCACTGCTTTTGGTAAGAACTAAAATTTGCAACATTTTGTGGGCAGCAGCAGACAATCCCCCATACAAATGACCTCTAAGTCTGCTTTATTATAGTATGGCTGCATTCTAAATATGATACATAAGCCTTTGTTTTCGTGTTTCAGGATCCATCGTAATGAGTGTATGCAAAGACCAGGCTGGAAGAATAAATTATCTAGCTTAACAGCCGTGTGACGCGGGGTGATAGATCTCTAAATTGAGGCTCAGGCAGTTACTCCATGTGCAGAGTGCAGCAGAGCATGTGCATGGTACATGAGAAAATATGCATCTGTTCTTGGGCTGCAAGTGATGCCGTGTAGCAGTTGTAATTTTTTAGCAGATTTTAAATAGTTTTTTGTTCAAGTGTTGTTTCCGAATGAGGTACATTTTTACAATAAAGGAAATAGAAGATATAGTGGTATACCTAAAGAACGGCGTGGTTGACGGGTCTCTTTTGAAAGAACAGAGAAACAACTTTAAAAGAAAGTGCTCGCGCTTTTATATAGAAAAGTCGCAGCTTTATTTGAAGGCAACCGAAAAAGAGCACAGAAAAAAAGTGGTGGGAAACGATGATAGAGAAAGACTGAAGTCCGTTCTGGACAATATCCATCTTCCGCACCATGAAGAGATAAAAACAATGCGCACGGTGGTGGATAGGAGCTATGTTGGCTTTAAAAAGACACACATTGACAACTACGTGAAAAAATGCATGGATTGCCAGAAATACAGATCTATGGTGCGGCTGTCTCTGCGAAGGATGGTCCATTGCTCCTCTTCTGCGCAGAGTCGAGTGCCTAGAAACGGGCTCTGATCTGCCTAGAGAAAGTTCTTAAGACAGAACTTCTGTGCTTTGCAGTGGAGCTTAGACTTTTAAAATAAATATAATTCCGTACTAATATATTTCTGTGCACTAAATGTAAACATTTTTGTTTAAAAAAATAGACATACTTTTGGCTTTTTATGGGATTTTATTTTATTTAGCGCAGTAGTACTTTTGATTATAGAATGTGTAGTTATTATGTTATTCTTAGAGTGGCCTTGGTGAGCTCACATCATGTTTATTCTATCTTACTGTTTGTGTTTAACAATAGTTCTATGCAATTATACTACACTCATACTCACCATATGTCAAAATGATAGACAAAGCTTAATGATGGCTGACACATTCAGTCATCCTGGTGCACAATCATTTATTTTTAATATTATGTACTGCAGCCACCGCTAATTATAACTTCACTCTTCTGTCACTTCATGCAAATAAATAGTGCGGCTGAAAAAGAACAACAGTCCTGCAGAACACAGCCTCCAAGAGAAGGAGCATATATTTGGGAAAAAATTTTAAGCAATGCTCTATAGTTTGGAAAAGAGAGAGATGTCCGGCCACGCGCAGACTCTTACCTCAAAAGCGAGGCTATTACTCTATAAATGTCCTGTTGTTTTTTTTGGCGCAGTTCTTTATCTTATGTATGTTATGACAGTGGGGGAGAAGATGTTTTTCAGCGAAGGATCCTTTGCAGGCGCTAGCTTGCACATAACAAGCACCGTCCTGTTCGTAATCTCATCTTGTGTGTCGCAGGTTCTGTTTTTTCTCTTGTCTTCGTACACCGCAGGCGTTGTGTCGTCTCCGATCTCAGAGTCTTTCAAGAATGTGCAGGCCATGCACGCGTCGCTTGCTGGGGATGTTGGGCCAGACAGAATGTTCACGAACCTTTTCCTCTGCATGGCGCTGGCCACGCTGTTCACAAGCGCAGGCTTTTTTGCTATGTATGCACTCCGCGCAGAGCGCGTGATAAAGCGGATACCGTCGGGCATGTCAAAGGCCCTCTTTGTTTCGATAGGGTTCTTGTGTGTGTCCTATGCAAACGAGCGCATTGGAGACATCCAGGTGGCGGTGGGTGCAAAGTGGCTTGTGCCTGCGCTTTTCAATGCAGCAGGCGTGTCTATAACTGTGCTGTGCTGGGCATGCGAAGGCTCTTTCCCCGCTGTTGCGCGGTACAGTGTGCTGTGGGTGGCAGCGCTCTTCACAGCGGGGTTCTACACCTGGGCATGGACCAGCGGTGAGAACACTGCATCGCTGCTCGCCAAGAAATGGCTCTTGACCGACCCAAGGAAGACAGTGGCTCTGAAAGTGCCTCCGCTGGTGTTTGCACACGTGCAGACAGGCGCAGTTCTAAAACAGCTGCCCAACATTGCGAAGATCGCCGTCTTGAACATTCTGCAGTTTCCCATAAACTTCCCTCCCACAGCATCGCAGAC